GAATTCAAATCCCAACCCAAGGAAGTACATACCTTTTTATATCTTTTACTCCGACGTCTTTTCCCCGACTTGTGAGGAGATTACATGCCAGTATTCCAAGGATGGCTCGGTCTATGTAGATCTTAATCAAGTACGGAGTAGAATGGGGTCGCAAATACCAATTACAGACTTCTATGAGTCTGAACTATGACTAGCCAAGTACCAATCAAAAAAACAACTTCGGCGATACTCACAAGTATATATGCTGGGGCTCCTAAGTGTGGAGTCAAAAATGCGGAGGAAACCCCGGGGATACTCCGTGTCGGGGGCGGTTTTGAACCTCGCTCATTGGCTTTTGCACTTTCAATCCCGACGCAGTCTGTTGACTCCCCCATTTTTGCCAATGCTCTAGCAAGTGGTCCTTTTTTCTTCGGGGATAATGAGGCCAGCCAAGGCCTGTGCAGTATGCCGGTAAGCCAGTCATACCCCGGCCCAACAGATCCTGTACTCATTTGTTAGTGAACGTCGACGAAAATGCGACATTCCGGCACCCGGTCACTCGTGTAACTATTGCTCCGCCCGGGGAATATTTTGTACTCGGAAGCACATCTCCGTGCCGAAAGGATCTTCTACGCCAGAAGAATCAACCGGGACTGTGTCTCTACCCGAGAAATGTATTTTACCCGATCAACCACTCTGCACTGAACTAGTGGAGCTGTATTTTGATTATGTGCATGATAAATTTCATTCTCTCTTCCATCGACCAAGTTTGATTGAAGACATACATCGGGGACAAGTGCCTGAGACTTTAATATGCGGGATTCTCGCATTATCGGCACGGTATGCCTTCAACTCGGCCCGAATGAACAGAATCTGACTCGGGTAGATTTTCGAATCACTCTTCCTTTGCCGATACAGATCCCCGAGAAAGAGGGAAAGGATATACCAAAAGATGTGAACAACTGCTCAACTTGAATGATGTCTCTTTGACGACAATCCAGGTTTGTGTTTTGCTCGGCGCTATTGCTGTAGTAGATGGAAACCCTGCCACGGAGGCCATCTACTACTCAATTGCATGCCGTATTGCCCAACTCCTTGATCTCCCCAACTGCCGTGCTACAAGTCGTGTGGAACAAGAAGTAAACACAAGAGGTTTGTAGTTTATCCGGAATTACTCAAAAAAATACCCACACATCTAACATCCAACACAGTATGGTGGACTCTTTGTATGATCGACGTCTGGTCCTCAACAGGAGTCCGACTCCCCCGGCTAATGACCCCCCAACCAAACGTTCCTCTCCCAATGAACGAAGCAACCTTCCTCGCCATGAGCCGCGCCCAAGGCTACACAGTATTAGTCCCAAACGACCGCGCCTCATCCCTCCTAGCGCAGATGGTCCTCCTGAACCGCATCCTCTTGGAGATCAACGACTTCAACACCAAAGCCGCCGAAACAACCCTCACTGAAGAATACATAAAAATAACCATCTCCACTCTCTCTGCCAAACTCTCCACCTGGCTCAAAGACCTACCTGCACACATGCACGACACACCCTCCAACCTCCAATCCTACGCCTCCCAAGGCCAAGGCCACCTCTTCGTAACTCTGTATCTAGGCTACTACCACTACGGCCAAATGCTCTTCTACCGGTTCCTCCACGAAGACGTCCGAGGGTACACCCCACGCACGCACTTCTACGCACAGCAATGCAAAGAACACGCCGTTCGGCTCTGCGAGATGATCTACCGCTCCGAGGAAGTACCAGGCTGCGCCGTGCTGTACAACATGGTCGGTCATGTCCTCGTTATTGCATCGACGGTGCAGATCCATACGCTGCTTTTCGGTGATGAGGGGAGTGTCGTTCGGGCAAGGGCGAGGCTCGAGAGGAATTTTTGTATTCTGACTAAACTGCGTGCACTGTGGCCTACGCTTGATGTTTGTATGGAGCGGTTGCAGGCTTTTCATCGGGCTTGTAGGAGCTCGGTTGATACTAGTTTTTGTATGGATGGGTGGATGGTGAGGTTTTTGGTTGAGTTTGCGAACCCGGTGAGGGATAAGGATGGGGGTGGGGGTGTGGAGGTGCCTTGGGCTTTGGAGGAAATTGGGATTTAGACGGCTACTATGTATAGCTACTATGTACAGTTAGTGGTTGTTTGTATATTGTCGAGAGGTTGGAAAACTATATGTTTTGAAACTAGGCGGTGACGAGAGCGGTCAATTCGATATATATCGTGCGTTTTCATGTCCAAGGTGGATGATGCCCCTGACAAATTCAATTGAACTGTTCAGGCACCGATTTTTAAAGTATCAAGCATATTTCCAAGCTACTGGATAATATCACATGGACGAAAGGAATCAAAATATCGTAGACTACAACGAAAGTTTGCGCAAGGTATATCCTCCAATACAACCACCAAATGCAGGAAATAACAAAAAGGATAGATATCAAACAGCCTTGAGAATGCCCTGAAGACCTTTGGACCCTCCTCGAGGCAGTACCAAACTATACTTGAAATGTTGAAAGAATGTCTCCGGGACATCGAGAACGAAAGCCAAAAGCAGAGCAAAGCCCAGGTGGTTGACGCAGACATGCTAAGCATTGCCATGGAATTTTTAGAAATTGGGAAATAAAGTTGTTGCGTGTATAATACAATGCATACACACAGAGCTATTGAGGGAAAAAACCTTAGAATCGAGAAGATAAATAACAAACCATACATGTATATAAGACCAGGAAGGATTCTGTCTCAAGGTAGTACATATAACAACGCCTTAAGATGAAACCTACACAAAGAGGTATACCTGGTAGAATCCTAGTTTCCCAATACTTTAAACATGAGGTTAATATTGGTTTGACATATTTGGGTGGATGGTCAATATATTTTCTGATGGTATTTAAACGATATATGTTATTGGGCGGCAAGTGTTGAAACGATTTTACTTTCCAAATGAGAACATTTGAATATATATAGCCATGAGAATAGATGAATCCTGAATCCTGAATCCATAGATCTACAGACTCATGGGTACATGGGTCCATATGGATACAAATTGTATCACAATTGAGACAAATGCGTGATTGAACCAATGTGCGGATGAAATGATCACCAAATGGCCAAACAAGACCAAATACACGTATGCAGCGGGGAGACAAGGTAGCCAACGCTCGATTTCCCTGGCCAAATCTCTAAACAGGTAACCCAAACACCCCATGATCCCCGTTTTGCCCAGAGATGAACAGCCAAGCTTCCAGGAATGCCATGCAACCAACTCCAAAATTTATGCAATCGTTAAGACATGTCATGATATAGCGTGATTGCAGAGGAACCTTCAGCCTCCGCATCCGCCGGGGACAAAGTAACGGCAGCCGTCGGACCTCGTTTGTGGGAATACCGTTCAGGAGCTTCGGTATCCAGACGGGGGGGATTTATTAAATAAGTTTCATCTTTGTTACTGTGAAGGGTTGAATCGTCTCCCCTCTCAGTCGATCAACGGTTTCTTCTGGTTGCCGACAATAGCGGCACCAATATGGCTGAGGGCGTTGTGGTCGTTCGGTCGTACAATTGCTGGAAGAGGCAGCATGGGGTTGTCCGGGTTGACGTGGGCGGCGTCTCGTGCAGCTTGCTCGATCGCTTCCATTTCTTCTTTGCAGCCGGCATGGTCGAGAGGGCAGACCACAATTGGTTGTCGGATGGTAATGTCTCTTGCCGAGGTTAAGTGGGCCTGCTGTGTGTGAGTTTTGGGGGATGATATACTATGAAACTAAGGGGAAAACGAACTCGAACTGTGAGGTAGTACTCGATTTTATATAGACTTGCTGTGGTTGTGAAGCCGCTCACACCGTACGTTGGAAATGCTGCCCTACTTCTTGGCAAGATCCCTTCTGCATCGCGGAGGTCCTTGGCAGGGAATACCAAGCCCAGGTTTGTTAAGTAGCCCGATTGGGGCAGCTTAACACCAATGTTTTCCGTTTTCTTGACTAGAACCTTGACTTTGCGCTGGGGCTCATCGCCTTCGTGGTTGTAGATGATTTCTTCGTCGATGCCGATGGTGATCTTGCTGATGGTCACTTTACGCGCCTTGCTCATCCAGCTCTCGTTCGGTGACAGTTTGACGTAGACGCTGACGGGATCAAGGGGACCGTAAGACCACCGTGGTAGTGAGATCGCTAATGTGACCAGATGATCCGATACGCGCTCCGCCGACTCTGGGCGATTGTACATGCCAAATGTGGAGAGTGTGTCGTAGCGCGCGATCGGGACGGGGAAGGTGTATTTGTGCTGCTGCTGTTGTCCTTGTTGGACCGTCACCACCATCTCGTAGTAGGTTTCGGCGGTGCGACTCGGGAGCTGTACACTAGCTGGTGGTACACGGCGAGAGGCATCACGACCTCCGCGACCAAATGGAATAAAGAGAACGAAGGGCAGATCCATGGATATTACTTCTTCGTATTCGCGGCCGGCGGGACATCGAAATAGGAGCATCTCTTTGCCGACGATATCGGTGATCTCTTTCCGCGGCGGAGCCAGGCGCTTCTTTGTGAAAGTGTCGGCCGAAGGGTGAATTGTCTCGCGGCGGAGGAGGGAAATAGTGACGAGGGAGACGTTGACTGGAGCTGTAATGCCAACACAGGGTCTGATTTCCACTTTACCCTCAATCCGTGGCTTGGATAGTTAGTCAATGGGGCCGTGTGAGCAGGGGGGCCAAACGGGCTCGCCGCATGTATCGCAGGGCGCTTACCATGGTCGCAGAAATGCCTGGGTATCCGATCAGAAAATTGCCATTTGCTGGGCCTGATACGCGCACAAAGGCGGCCATCTCGAGTCAGCCGTGCCTGTCGCACCATAGACATGCGGAGGTTGGTTGAGTTGTGGGGAATATGCGAGTGGACGGGGGAATCCTTTCGCACGGCTCATAAGGGTTCGACGGTGGGTAGGGTAGAGTGCGTGGAGATATAGATCCTTTGATCGCTGAGGTTCAAAGAGGTTGAAAAATTTAAGTTATCCAGAGGTCTAAAGGTCTAGAGGTTTGAGATAGGAGAGGTGAAGGAGCTGAGCTTCCAAAAGGTACAGTGGTTGTGGTGGGGAAAGGTGAACTGAGCCCCCCCAACAGCCACAATTAACTTGAGCCTCTGGTTTTTGGTATTGGGCTCTTTCAGGGTTCTCTATATTAAATAGTATAATACACAGAACAATATAGCAAGATCTATCAGCTCTTGTCAGATCTCTACATATGTACCCAGACGTAATGGTTATCGCGTGGACAATGTAAGCCCAGTTTTCAATGCCAATGTCATCATCGTCATCACACATGATAAATCTATAGAACAATATATATTACTATATACATGTACTATATATATATGAGTTTGTATATGCCAATATATAATTTATATACAAATATAAAAATGTCCCAATTAGAACCATGGAAGACTAAATTCCGGACCTAAGCAGATTTCTCAAGATTGGTTGCCAGTGCAACCATGACATCGCTTCCTTCTCCACCTAACTTCAACATTTGTATATTCTCCGGATCCTAACGCCAAACCACTACATTCTACATCATTATGCCTCGTCGTGTAGCAAATAAACCCGGGTCGCAGTCGACACTGTCCTTCGGAGGGGGCCGAGTGACCAAACCAGTCGCTGCACCCCACAAAGCGAAGGCCCTCGATTCACCTCCAGCGCTCTCCAACAAATCTGCCTCCGCCACCCCGGAGCCCCAGCAGCTGTCCGTCACCCCAAATGAGCCCTCCAAGCCCCATATCGCCGAGTTAGCGGTGCGAGAGCAGGCTGCAACTGAGCACCAAGCGCCTCGATCCGAAGAAGATAAGCGGGCATTGAAGTTGAACAAGCAGGATATCTGGCGATACTGGCAGGCTCAAGAGCAGACCCGGAAGGCTCCTAGAGGTAAGTCGATTTTATCGCACACGGAATTACTATGAGTCAAGAGGCTAATTCCAACTTGATAGCTCACCAACAAGGCATGGATGTAGAGGAAAAGATTCTCCGCCATTTTGACCTTTCCAGCCAATACGGGGTATGTTGTCTTGGTCTCCCAGAGTTCTCAATAAAAAAACAAAAGTCATCTAACATAATGTCTTTCTCTTTAGCCCTGTGTTGGAATTGCTCGTGTCAAGCGCTGGAGACGGGCTAATCTGCTAAAGCTCAACCCACCCATCGAAGTCCTTGCGGTTCTTCTGAAGGGGAAGAATACAAATGAGCGAGCACATATTGATGAATTATTATCGTGAGGACATATGGGAAAGTGATTTGAATCGGCGTTGACAGACTTGCATGGATTGGGTGTTTGTGAGAGGTATTAATGAGATACGAATGACAATATGGCTATTCCCAGATTTCAAAGGTTGTAAATTCACTTTCAGTGCCTTTCGCCTTTCAGTGACGGAAGAATATCTTGGAGTTTCAAGGAAGTGATTGTCTATCGAGACTTCCGTGTGAGCCGGCCGAGGCAGCTTTCCATTGGCAAATTAGAGAAAGGCTCAGGCAATTTCCGCTTATACGCATCGATACGATAGAATACCCGAATGCCCGATCCTCGAGACGTCGATCCTCATTTCAACTCACCTGGAAAGCCCTTTCAAGTATATCGGAATCACTATATTTATCTAGGGAGATGAAAGGCCAGGATGCTGGAATCTTTTCAGGCCCGTGTTATCCCCGGATTCACACAATGGGTCTGTCCGGGGACCCCGCGATATTCGCCATCGGCCATCTTTGCTTTTTTTTCCAACTTCACTACATCCGCTTTGCTATAAGTGTGAAAAGCTTAGAGTTTTTGCTTGCTATCTCTACATAATTCGTATGGATACACATATGTATTATGATTTTGCCCACTGCAAGGGTCTTTCGCATCGCCTCAACAGTCATTTTACCGGTTGGAATGAAAGTCTAAGCCTAATTTAGATATTTCATCCGATGCGCCTTTTCTTTTCTTTTCTAGCACAGTGGGCGTCAAGTGGCTGGACACGAGATCTTACTGGACACAGAGGTCTTCAAAGTCGGTGGCGACGCTAAGCAGGACTTGTTTCCCATGTGATGGATACTTTTGGTCTTTCCTTGATTTTTCTGATTTTTCTGATTTTTCTAATTTTTCTGCTTGAGTATTACCCCAAACTCCATTCAATGAACACTGTGGTCTAGTCTTGACTGGGCCCACCCCCGCTAAATGTCTCACTTGCCTGTGGACCCTTCTCGAACCAGTTCCCCTCTTATGTCGGTGTCAATGCTATTTTCACAGTGAACAAATACCAAAAAAAAAGAAAAAAAAAAAAGAAATGGTTCAGTTGGAAAGTAACATATTGAGTATGTCGACACTGGAGGCGCCATATGCAGGTACGATATTTCATGATCGACTCATCTCTCGGAAGATGCTAGTATTTTGATATTTTAGCTAGTCTGTGGTTATCCCGGAAGATATCAACTGATCACTAAGCCCAATGAAACTCTGGAGACGTCCGGTATGTCTTTGAGGCCTTTATCTGACCCAGAGAGCTACTACGTACTACGTTGTACGTCCATAAGCCCTATAGTAGACAATTTCCGTAGCCCACAAGGTTGGCCTCCTGAGTTTGGACCCTTTTTAGGGCCTTTCATTTGAGGAACCAAATGATAATGCCGTGTGTTACCCCCCAATCAATTCCAAGATATTATATTATGTTATTAATTGTGTAGACATTGCGTCGGACCAAGTCCCAATGGGGTATAGTTCGATGCTACGCTCTCTTGGGCCCTACCGGGGCCTGCCGGGGTCCAAATATCTTCCCCGGATTTTCTTCCAAATACCAGGTACTATGGGGTTCGCCACCCTTTGATCTTTGTCAATCATGCAGTCATACATTCAAATGTTCATTGTTTTGGCTTGTCCTACATACGCTTGAGTCCTGCTTCCAGCCAATCCACTCAGGGTTCTTTGCAATGGGAACGCTGCACAACGTATGCTACATGTACGGCTACATGTACGAAGTACTGCAACCTGTACCATACCTCCACCCATGGAGCCCGCTAACAGGCTAGCCCAACACAGTGAAAATTAAAGCCAGTGACCCTGTTCAGCCGTATGACTAGCAAATGGGAAGTGTAGTACCAACATTGCCACTGGTCTAGCTTTCCCGGTGGCTTCCTCGTCCGTCCTGGTCTAGTCTCAACTTGGCTATGCGGGCATACGTACGCCGTACGAGACAATAGGACCAACCAGCAATTCTCGTTCCAGGACTCAATCGGCTGCGGGAACCCAGGATCCGGCGTAAGCCTTCTGCCTTGGCCATGCAATGAGCGTCCGGGGTTCCAATCCGTGGTAATTACGGATCTGAGTCAACCGCGGCCTTGGCCTACTTCCGGTGGATTGCCTCCCATTAAGCATGCGGAGACATGTGATGGTCCCACGCGCCAACCTTTTGGTGCAACCCTGCCACAGGGGTTTCTCCATGGGGGAGGTGGAGTATATAGGACGGGCAAAGCTTATAAAAAGGGCATCACCCATCCAAGTACAGACCTAGCTCTTCTCAACCCATCTGCACTCGCTATACATACTTGACTGTCTTTTCCGGCACGCCGTTCATAATAACTATTTTTTAGTCCAGCTATATCATCATGAAGTTCTCCACCACTCTGATTGCCTTCGCTGCCGCCGGCCTCGCCAGCGCCCAGCTGCCCGATGTGCCTGCCTGCTCGGTACGAATAAAACAAATGCCGACCTCACAAGAATATGTCTACTAATAGTCACCTCTAGCTGAGCTGCTTCCTCACTGCCCTGCAGAGCGATGGTTGCTCCGAGCTGCTTGACTTCAAGTGCCACTGCCAGAAGACCGAGCTCGTAACCAGCATCACCCCCTGTGTCGAAAAGGCCTGCGAACACAGTGACCAAGTCTGTATGTTAATATCCGTCTACTACCCTTTTGATCCCAACACCCCACTGACCCACCAATCCAGCTGTCTCCAACGCCGTCGTTGGCCAGTGCTCCTCTGCCGGCCACCCTATCTCGATCCCTCCCATCGAGACCAGCGCTTCCTCCAGCGCCAGTGCCTCAGAGACCAGCACCCCCAGCTCCGCCTCCGCTGAGACCACCGCCAGCGCCACCCCCACCGCGTCCGCTAGCGAGAGCTCCAGCGCCGTTGAGTCATCCTCCTCCGCTGTTGAGACCGAGAGCTCCACCACCGGTGGATCTTCCCCCGTCGGTTCCTCCTCCGGTGTTGCCACCTCCACCCCGCTGGTGACCACCACCGGATCGGCCACTGCCTCTTCCACTTCGCCCGCCTTCAACGGTGCTGGCAATGTCAAGGGCAACCTAGCTGGTGTTGCTGCCTTCGCCGCTGCCGCCGCTTACGTCCTGTAAATATATCCATACCTAATCTAAGGCTGTTGTCAGTGTTCGCGATTGGCGCTTGTTGGCAGGCGGGATTTGCTTCCTTTTTTTGCTGGCTGGGTTGGTTGTGCGAGACGCCTGAATGGGTCACCTCCCTGTATAGTTGACTTGCTTAATACAATGCACGTCTTGATTTTGCCTCTTTGGTGAAACGGATGTTTATGATTTGATCTCTATTTTGTTATCTTGGGTCTTGTAGCGGCTAAATCTGTAGGCCCCATGTACAAAAAGGTGTATATTAACGAGCTAAGAAATTTCCAAACCAGTCAACTTAACTTGGACAACAGGAAGAGTATTTTGGTGTTATTACTATACATTGGGCGTTCATATTTAAGAAATACGTATTACAGCGGTGACTAATAGACTTCTCACCTAGATGGTTAGTTAATGGAAGTCGCAATTGCGAATATGAAATAGCCCAAGTTGGCAACGTTGTTTCACTTTTCAATGCTAGAAAATTGGACACAAAAGTACAGACGTTGGGTAGCTTGCTTATGACAGGGACGAGACTGTAGTGGCAAGTGGATTTATTTTGAAAGTAGCACATATAGTAATATTCGCCTTGGTTTTACTTCTGTTCTCCCAGTGCTTCCTGATGGCTAATTCTGGCGCTAGATGAAGTGTCCTACTTACCAAACTCCTACTTTTAATTATCCTACGGCTAGTCTTGAGCCAATTGAAGCCATGGCGAGTACTTTATTATATATGACTAATAATATCTTTGGAAATCAATCACAGCAGGGCAGCCATCGCAGCAGCAACCATAGGAGCAGCCGTAATCAAAGCACCTGCGTGTCCAGCAGCACCGCCGGTTGACTGAGTAGTCTCGACAGATGTAGTCGAAGTTGACTCCACAGTTGTCTGCGTTGCGCTGGGAGTCGTAAAGGTAATTGAATCCAGTCCGGCGGTAACCGTCAACTGGTAGTAAGAATTGGACATCGGCGCCGTGGTGTAGGTAGCCTTGTTGGTAGTGGAAGACTCATATTTCCCTCCATCCAAGGATCCGTTCATGCCCAGACTCATAGTGCAACTGGCGGACTCGGTTGAAGCTTTCAGAGAGCACTCATAGGACTGGGTGAGAGTGAGATCATAGCTGTTTGACTTGCCCGAGGTGGATGCGATGTATTGCCCGGTCACGCTGACTGTCTCCGGGCCTTGAATGATCGTCCACGAAGCGGGATAGTTGCAATCTGTCTTAGGGGCGCCCTTCACACAGCCGACGTGGTATGTGGCGGCTTTGGTGTTGTAGGCGACGAGGCTGGCGGCGGTGCTTGTCCAACCACCGTATTGAAGGAATCCTGCATCCCAAGGGGGAGAGAAGTAGCCAATGATGGCGCTGCTGGTGTCGTCGGCTTGAGCGCCAAGGGTAGCAAGAGCTGTTGCGAGGAAAAAGGAGGTACGCATGTTGATAGTCATTGGTTTTTGGCGGACGATGAAGTGGGAAATTCAAGAAAAGTGAAAAGGTACAGACTGCGATAGACGAATGTGTTCCTTTAAATGAAATGAACCAAGCTATTTACTTAGCTTACGGCGCTTTTGCTCAATGGGTAGCGGAAGGTGAGACCATGGCGAGGTAGTATACTCCAGAAGCCCTAAGTTTCACAATGCTTTCCTATTGGTTTGGGTCACTTTTTTCTCACCACTCATTGGATATTAGAGCGCTGTGGCTAACCTGTAGTTAACCGAAGATAGTGCTAGCAATCCGCTACATCGCTAGCGTAAAAAAGAAAAAGTCAGCGGACTAGTCAGTGGCCAAAAAAAAAAAAAATAAATAAATAAATATCATGTTCCCGTTCAGCACGAGCATGATAGTACAATTGTCAGTGTGTTGAACTTTCATTCACATAAAATTATGAATACGAAAAGGGACGTTAGCGATATATGTTGCCGATTCGCAGAGGCTCTGTCGATTTCGGGACTGTAGGACCCACAATCAAGGCCCAAAGCCTCCATAGCCAATCTCTTACTCGGGTTACACATACTCTATACGGAGTAATCTTAGATATGGAGCTAGAGCGGACCAGCTCCACTGGGTGTAGGATCCTCTCCTGGACCGGCTATGCGGCGTTTGAAGGTTCTTTGAGTCACACACCTCAATCATATACTTTAATCCCCAGAGGTTCTCGACCTGAAATTTATTCTGATTGAATGGGTAGAAGATTGGGGCATCCTTTTAGGAAATCTCAATCCACGTTGCGCCGACATTGACATCATTGACGTCCTTCATAGTGCGCAGATAATATGCCCCACGACTATACATCCCCCACCTTACTACACCCATACTATAGCACCGAAAAAGGCGAGCTTAACACGGTGAATTGATGAATAGAGAGGCCGACTCAGACCTCCCTAGAAATCCATGGCTGCTTTATTTGGATGGCTTTCGAAACATCGTTCGTGAGGGCCGTATGGGTCCCCATATTGACCATCTCTTCGACATTGTTAGTACATGAATGGGCAGCGGATTACTCCAAAGCTCTGCTGTGGGTGAGAAGTATCGAGTTGGTGGGGAGTTAGGGAAGGACACGGAATCAATTCACAGAGGGAGAACTTGCAGACCCCATTTGCTGAAGTTTGCTCATTACATGAATGGTTATGGTCGGTCAATATTTCAGGATTGATTGTCTCAATGCCCGGGGGCTGTTCATTTTGGATAGGGTCTCCGGAAGTAGGTTCTTGAGAATGTCGATCAGTGGACTCCGAGTTATCTAACCAGAAACCAAACGATTGATGCACAGTTCGTGTAGACCAAGCCGTTGCCACCCAAAATTAGACTACTCCTGCTTCACAAATATGGGCTGAATCCGGCCCAACCCAATTTCCACCGTAGTCGTTAGTCTGGTTACCATGCTCATTCGCGGGGCGGCGTCCATAGTAGTATCTGGATTCTTACTCCTCGTCTCTAATGATTACCAGTGAAGACAAAGTTAAGCTAATCCTTGTGTTCTTTTCTTGTATACGTATGGTTTGGATTTTATATATCCAAAGGTGTATATCTCCGTGGCAGAAACCTGATTGATGACGGATGGACCCACCCCTCGAGGTAAGCACGACGTACCTGCTGAACATTCCATCCTCATCTCTCAGTATTTCTGCTTCTTCCTATTTACTTATTCCAATATCGCATTAATTCTTCACTTCGAATTGTCAGGCTCCATGTCCAAGTTTCGTAATCTACCCCGCGCCGCGGGGCCGTTGATCTGCCCATACCAGGTGACGACATAAGTCCGCAATTCTTTTTATGAACTCCGATTCTGACACAGAACTAGGGGAAATCTCTCCTCCAATCATCACAATTGAACAAAGGTTCGGCATTTCCAGACAATGAGCGATCAACATTCAAGCTCCACAGTCTCCTCCCGCCAAATATCCAGACACTGGACGAGCAAGTCCAGCGCGCTTATCAGCAGTACAAAAGCAGAGCTGATGACCTAGCCAAGAACACCTTCCTGGCTAGCATGAAGGCGCAGAATGAAGTGTTGTACTTCAAGGTTCTGACATCTTCCCGCCAAAGGCAACATTGGCATGTGCATTGTTACTAACCTGTCAGTAGCTCGTGCAAACCCATCTCAAGGAGATGTTTAGTGTGATATACACGCCCACTGAAGGAGATGCGATTCAAAATTACTCGCGGTTGTTCAGGAAGCCAGAGGGGTGTTTCTTGAATATCAATGACCAGGATCACTTTGATGAGTATCTCGCTGAGTTTGGGACCGAGGAGGATGTTGATTATATCGTCGTTAGTGATGGAGAAGAGGTAATTATATATGTGCATGAGCGAGAATTAGTTCCTGATTTTGCTTACCGTTGATCTCTTTTGCAGATATTGGGAATTGGAGACCAGGGCGTGGGCGCTATTCTCATATCGGTTGCCAAACTAGTTATTACCACGCTCTGTGCTGGAATTCATCCTTCGCGGCAGCTTCCTGTTGTATTGGACTGCGGGACAGATGTATGTATATCTATCCACTAGTTAAATCCACTTTTACTGACAACATATACAGAATGAAGAGTTGCTCAATGACGCACTCTATCTCGGCCTGCGGCAGCATCGGGTCAGAGGGGAGAAGTACGATGAGTTTGTGGATAGATTTGTAAAGACTGCCCGCAAACGATTCCCGAAGGCTTACATCCACTTGTATGAGAAATGGTTCTTTATTGTTCGAAACAAAGCTAACAATATCAGTGAGGATTTTGGCCTGAATAATGCACGGAGAATACTCGATCGGTATCAGTCGCAGATACCTTGTTTCAATGACGACATCCAGGGCACGGGGTGTGTCACACTCGCTGCCATGTTGGCCGCCCTTCAAGTCAGCCAAGTTAAACTGGAAGATGTGCGAGTGGTGATCTTTGGCTCGGGCACAGCTGGTACTGGCATTGCCGACCAGATTTCGGATACGATCGCCACTGAGACACGGAAGTCAAAGGATGAAGCGTCTAAGCAAATCTGGTATCTTACCACGAGAGAGGGAGACAACGCCCCTACTAACACTGCTTTTTCATCTAGGTGTATCGACAAGCCTGGTCTTCTGGTAAAGTCCCTCGGTGATAAGTTGACCGAAGGCCAAAAGTCTTTCGCACGAGACGATGACGGGTGGCCGGACGATGATCGAGATCTTTTGTCGGTCATCAAAAAGGTCCATCCCCATGTGCTTATCGGGACATCAACCAAGCCCGGAGCATTCACCGAAGATATCGTTCGTGCAATGGCCAGGAAGGTAGAACGACCAATTATATTCCCCCTTAGCAATCCGACACGACTACACGAGGCGAAGCCGGTTGATCTCTACGAATGGACCGATGGGCGAGCCCTCGTTGCCACAGGCAGTCCATTTCCGCCAGTTACCCACAACGGCACGAAATATGACATCGGTAAGCATTCCAATATCGTTTCAGGCATTCACTGCGCATTATATTGATTACGATATTACAGCGGAGTGCAACAACTCGACTTGCTTCCCCGGCATTGGTCTTGGAGCAGTCCTCTCGCAGTGCCGTCTCGTTTCGAAGAAGATGCTAGTCGCTGCCGTGGAGGCACTCAAGGCGCGGTCACCGGCCCTGAAAGACTCCAATAAGCCTTTGCTCCCCGATGTGGAAGACGTGCGTGAAATAAGCGTGGATATTGCTGCGGCTGTGATCTTGTGTGCTGTGAAGGAGGGACTAGCACAGGCAGAGGGTATTCCTACCACTAACTCTGAGCTGCGAGAGTGGATTCAAGTCCAGATGTGGGAAGCTGAGTATCGGCCTTTGGTCTATAAGAATTAACTGCAGGCTTTGTTGTCATGTATTGTGTGTTTCGGGCATTTATGAAATAAGATGCCCTTTTCTCTTTCCATGGCAACTATTCGTCTCCCATTTTCCATACAACCGTCTATCCCTGGTCAAACAACATGAGAACTACCATACAACTAAATACCATATTGTTTGAAACACTACGTAAAAGACCATGAAGGAAAGTCTGCAAACGCCTACTATGGAGCAGTCATGTTACCACGGATCGATCTTAGCAAGCCATTGGCTATGTACTTACATAGATAAACGGGGACGGATTATTCTGTATTTATAAAAAGGAGGGCATAGTAAGGGTCCCCTTTTTGTTATAATTTATATCGATAATCTACTTATTCTATTTTATTCTAAATAAGATATTAAAGTATTTAAACCTACTCTTTCTAAGTACTTCTAATAAAAGTGTTCTTAAACGTTACCATATGATTAGTATTTCTTATAATTATTATCTATCTCTTTTAATATAATTATATCGATAAAATCGCTTACTTAGTCTCAAAAACGATTAAGTTGGTAACTACCCTAATAGATAAAAAGTAAGTCCTACCTACTTTCGATCGTATCACTACTAAAGTAGAGATTAAAGAGTTTTAAATAAAAATCAAAACCTTAGTCAATATATCTACTAAGCTAGACACCTCTTTTCTCGTTAGTAAGTTAGAATATATCTCAGTTCAAATGGTGTTAAAGTAACACCAACATCTTATAGCCCAGTGAAAGCAGGAGACAAGCATGCCTAGGGCCTATTTCTTACTAACGTTTGTCAATATGCTAATAAGAGTTTGAGCAAAATATTTTGATGAGACCATTTGCCTTGCTAATCTGCCAATTTAGCCAACCAAATAGCTGACACCATAGCCATAGTATTATAGCTCGGGTTTTTCACATTCTAGCTGAAACTTCGATAGAATCGTCGTCGAAGTTATTTGACAAGTTATATTCGCATCGCAATCTAGTTCCTGCAGATATTGTATCACCTCAAATTTGAGGACTCTTTGGCCGAAATGGTCAAAATTTGATCCAAGGCATACCTGGCAAAAGGCAATCTCAATTTGGTAGTCAAAAAAATCTAGATTCCCAGCATCCCTCTTATATATTGGCGGAATTGGATGGTACCGTTAGGGAAAAAGCACAAAATTAAAAATGAGTATAAGAAGTTGGATGAAGTCTATGAAGGTATACAGATAAAAAGAGGGAAAAAAAACGAAGGTTCCAAGAGCGACGCCATCAGCTCCGAGTGCCAGATATGAGTCCGGTCACAGGTGCATGAGACTTGGGAAGGCTGAGTAACTAGGACGGGTAGAGCTTTCACGTTCTACCCCGGGAGAGTTCTGGTTCTCTGATGCACTTCGCCTGAAACATACTCAGCAAGATTTCGGAGTGCTGTCCCTCCATCTTCTCCCAAGATCGAAACGGCGGTAAGCTTAAGACAGCGACATTAGTCTTTGAACAATTCCCTGCCTGGTTCTGGGAGCGACTTGCTGGGTAGGAAGCACTGATATTGATTCCCATTCGTATCCACCCAGAAATCCCATCAGTAACGGTCTTGCCCAACAAAATATATTCCAGGTAGGGGTCATATCCTGCAGAAGCAGCTTCTCCAATAAAAGAATCGTCACCATCAAGAACGATTGGAACATCATCCTGGAGAGTGGATGGATAGTTTCTGTAAATCTCACCCCGCAAATGTTCATCAAAGAAGATCTGAGTGGTATGCGCAGTGGTGTTGGACATGAACGTTCCATTCGGGAAAAATTTACTAAATAAGAGTTCGGACTTATCCCGTGTATGCAATATGAAGAATCTTGCTAGGCTTACCCATCAAGATGCGCTGTCAAATGGGCATGTGTGGCTCGTGCAGCATAATGACCGGGGGAAATGGTCGCAAAATTGACGATACCATTTGAATCGGTTTGTTGAATTCCACGAAGGAAAGTTGTGTTCTTGTGATTTCAAAGGGTTTTACCTTTGGAGAATGCCATTGTGGGCTGGAGCAGGTGGTCCTGCAGATATGGACTTGGTTGTCAAATTTGAGTTCATATATAACTACACCGTGGGTGGTTCCCACGCCCGAGTTATCTGACCACCTTCACGTCATGGTACTATAAGGAACGCCGATCAATATCGAGAGAGGGGCACCTCGAACATGTGAATGGATTTCAAAATGTAGGTACCCGTGCAGGTCCACGACCCCCGGGGGTGGCACACCTGAGTATTACATGAGCTGCTCTAGGCCCCGGGGGCTACCTAGGCCGAAAGATCATAAGAACAATTAGAATGTCTGGTTGTTGCTGCAACGGTATGTACATTAGGCCCTAACATCCATTAAGAACTAGTCGCTATTTGATCTAGCAACCCAACTTGATCTGGTATTTTCACTAGGGTATAGTTAATAGCCCCGTGTCCGAAATCTCAGCGATCTATAAGGATACAAGATCGAAGGGTTTAACTATAAAATACTATTTATCTATGCTCAGGTGTATGATAACGTTGAATTTTCTGCTGTTCTTTCCCCAATAATAGCTATCTAGACCTAAGAAGTCCGACCAGAATAAGTCGGTCCCACTTTATCCGGTTTGGATTATTTCCACCTCAAGCACCACGATTCATCATCATCACCATCAAATATATCAGTCTTGTCCTTGTGGATGAATCGTTTCGATTGGGTTTGTTTGAGTTCAAGGAACTTTCACTTTAAACCTTGCTTGACTCAAGGAGAGATAATTCGAATTTCAAAATTCAGTGGACTTCGGTCTGTGATGATTTATCTTGCATCGTCACATCGACCACCCCGCTTCCGTCGCACGTTGGGCAAGTCCTTTGCGACTCGTCGGTGGTAGGTGCTAGGCCGGACAATCTGAACACCAAGGTTATGATGGTCGGGCCGAGAAGGATATAAATGAGAATGAAGGAGACGAAAGTTAGGAAAGGCGCAGCCTGCAGCGTGTCGAGGACGAAAGTGCTAAACGAAGTCATAACTGTGTCTAGGTATGTCACCAGTGCTATGCTTTTGGTAGGAGGGCACGAAAGAATAGCTTATCAATTAGAGAACATGAAATTGGCTTCGAAAGCTAAGCTTTATAAACGTACGATTAATCAGTATTAGAATGCTTCTGCCTAAATAATCCCTGATCAACTAGTTTGAGTACTTTGTTTGCTTTGTACTTAGTAACTCGCAGCCCTAATCACCGCCACCGCACTATGCCTAAATGGCAAAAATACATAGACTCTAGGGAGAGTCAAAGACATATAAGATCTATCAAGCAATCCCCCTACTTGTCGAGACAAGACTAAGCTTCATCTCTTGAAACACAGTCGCACGAACTAAAGCACACCAACCAGTTCTATTTTTACTAGGAGGAGATGTATTTTTCTCCCAAGACAATCAAGTACACCCGTTGGCGCGGTTGCTCAAACAAACATCACCTCCCTGGGCAGAGCTACCGTGACCCTGGCAAGAGGCGCTAGATTTGTCCTCTGCAACGACCTCGCTGTTACAGGAAGTCCACGTAGTAGAGAAGAAAAAAGCTCGAACATGGTAGGTGGACCAGCTGATACAGCAGTTTGATCCTCCGTGGGACTCGCAGTGGCTGCGAGGAGCTTTTCCAACATCAAGTTTGAAACGACACGTTGTCCCCGATGCGCAAGAGAGAAGACCAGCACACGCAGACCAATTTATAGAGTGTCGCCCACTCAGAGTAAATCTAGAGCCATTTCTTTTCTCGATGGCAGTTGAGTTGCCTCCCAAGGCGACCAATATATCGTGGACATCTTCGACCATGTCTGGATCATTCGTGTCAAACTTCTTGGCGTAGGCTGCCTCAGTCAAAAAGACAGCCTTTTCGTCGTCGGTGTTGGCCATGCTGGGATCCAGAGCAGCGAGCCAGGACCGAGTCTCAGCCGGATAGTCGACGTATTCAACATCTACGTCGAAGTGGCTGAGATCGCCCTTGAAGTTAGGAAAAAGATCCGAAGCACGGTGTGTCACGATGATGTTTGTAGGGTTTGTAGAAACGATCGGGCTTGCCAAAGTGGTTGAAAGGCATGCAAGGCCAAGGAGACCAGTAACGACAGTTTTTTGCATTTGGGAAAATTTTCCAAGTGAAGAATGACGCAAGATTACCTTTGGCCGAATGAAGCTCCGATTCTTGAAGAGGCAATTGTCACAGAATGAGATGTGAGGGTTACCTCCTACGAGGTGCGCATCTACCATTCTTATATAAAAGCTTCTCTGATTCCTCCGGAAAAATCAGATAAATGCATCTGCCTATTCTAAAACCAGATACCCTGCGTCCCGGCTAGTGTATAGAGAAATGTACCTGGAAAGCCAACCATATCCAGAGTCCAGACATAGTTGACCAATACTTTAAGTGTCCCTATCCTTGAGCCTGCTGGACGATGCTGCTCATAACCATAATTAGCCCGAGGACCTCAGCGAAGGATCAAATTTAACGATACCACTTCCTCTTCACTTCCACCGATGACTCCAAGGTACAGACTAGTTCAATAGTGCAGGGCAACCTATTAGTGCTTACCATCTCTAATGGTAACTTTCGGATGTTAAACTAGACCTCTTAGAACACGCATGTCTTGGAGTTAGCCCATGGCCCGATGAGGTCCGAAAAAAAAGGCCCGTCGCCAAAGAGAGTCTGTATCAGTGGGGAACTTAATCTACTATCGACTACTCCGTAGAGATTCATGATTGGTGTATCATCTCTTCTTAGTCTGGCATGGGTAGGGCCGTCCGTCCGTCCGTCGGTCCGTCCCCTTCCGATCGCCGGTGTCTATTGCCTTAGCAGCCCACGAACGATCTTTTTGCCATGTACCTGATATATGATATTGCTATATAACGTATTTCACTACCGAGCTGGACAAACCCCCGAGCTGGACACCCCACCAAAACGTGTCAATTAATTTAAACCCTACTTCTTTAACCATCCACTATGCCACCAATACGCTCTCGAAGCTCTAAAAATTCAATAGAGTAAGAGGGTAGGATCTTACTAGCTATCTAGGCTTTTAAGAATCAAGAAATATCGTCAATTCGTGCAACAGCCCGCCGGTTTAACGTACCGAATTCGACTCTCTCTATACGCCTCTCTAGTATTAAAAACCGCGCGATTTCTCGCGCAAATTGCTCGAAATTGATAGAAATTGAAGAGGAGTCTCTTAAAAAATGGATTCTCTCTATAGATCTACGTAGAGCAGCCCCTCGGCCCTCTATGGTACGAGAAATAGCGGATCTTCTTCTTTAGAAATATAGTACTACCCCGGTTCTTTCGGTCGGCTAAAATTGGGTTACAAAATTCGTAAAACGACATCCTCTCCTCTCCTCCCGATTCTCGAAACAATATAACTACGAGCGTACGAAATGTGAAGAACAAAGAGCTTTTTCGAGCTAACGAAGTCTAATTTTATCCGAAGTCTAGCCGTTAGGACTAACTTCAAAGCCCATAAATGGGGGCCGAAGGCCCAACCAGCAGTGATGTATGGGCTATCGATGGGGGCCTATAATAACCCATCGTGGCCCATCAAGGCGATCTTGGCGCTTATAAACCGGCGTCTTGTAATCGCTGTTGTCTAGCCTTCTACTAAGTGTATAGAGTTCAAATCTAGAATATAGAGGTAAAATAGAGAGAGATACATATATATATATATATGTCAATTTCAAACAAAATTTAACCAGTGGAAGTTGAGATATTGCGAAATAAGCTTAGTATTAATGTTGTGATGTTGGATATATATTTGGGGTTCAGGTAGGAGTATAACCACTTTCGAAGTGAACCTGGCGAGAAGTATACTCAATGCTGGGGCGAATATAGCCGCATTCGAGAATCCGGCAGAGATTGCACATACCACCGATACCAGAGACCTCTTAAAGGAAGTCGAAAATCCGTTATTATACGCCGCCCAAGGCGGGCATCTCGGCACTCTCAATTCCATGCTTTCCGAAGCACGGTCGGATCGAGTCTGCTCGCAAGCTCAGCTGCGTACTGTTCTTCACTGGGCTATCCGGTTGTGGAACTGATGATCAAGAATAACGCCCCTCTAGACCCCGCAGGCGATGCTAGATGGGCGTTCTCTGCATTAGGCGTTGCTGTTGCCTCACTTAATGACTTTATTATCCCCCGGCTACGAGAGGCAGGAGCAAAATCAGGTCATTCAGAAAGCCCAAGTCCCCTCGCAAATGCTATATTCACCAATCAACGACCCGTGGTTGAGCTTCTTCTCAAACAAGGAGAACGGCTACATTCTGATGGAGCTCTAATACACATTGTGCGTAAAAATGACAAAGATATTTATCAACTATTGATTAAATATGATGCTTTGGAGATGGACATATTTTCTACTCAGGCGATGTTCTCCGCAATCATGCACGGGCATTACGATATGGTCGAATCCTTGATTGAGAAAGGTGCAGACCCAAACTTGGACTGGCAGTTCTCCACTCGGGATTACGCGGAATGGTTTTTCTATAGCACAATAGGTTTCGTTCTACATTTCGAGCACGTTGAAATTGTGAAACTTCTGCTGGCAAAGGGGGCTTTGGACCTATAATACTACCCAAGTGGAAGGCTCGGAGGATGCAAAATATCCCAATGAATGGGACGTATATGATTACGGCACAAATTACTGATATTCCAATGTTGAGATAATACAAGATTTGCGTACGCAGTATTATAGATCTCGGCCGACGATATATTATACGGCTAATACCAGACTACGACTACGGAAACCGAACTATGACCATACCATTACCTACCGAATAGAGAGCAGCTAACAACTAGTATGGGGTATATATCGTAAAGGTGGTCCGTAAGGAAGAGCAGTGGTCATTTTTACTGGTGAACTATAACCCGTGGTTATATGATTTTTGACAGCAGAGCTTGATAGCCACTAAACGAATGTATGAAATGAATGATCTTGAATTTATCATTGTGCAAGCAATCCCAGAATTGATCTCGTACATGTATACAACTAGCAAATAGAGAAGTGACGGTCTGAAAAAACGCTATACAAAGCAAAAGTCATCATGCAAATGGGACTGGTATGTTACAAATTGTTCAATAATATGGAATCCATGTGAGCCAAAGACAAAGAGAAACCGAGCTAAAAAAAAAAATAAAAATAAAAAGGAAAAGAAAACCGGAGATTTAAATAGGTTGATTTATGGAACCCATAGACGCATGAATCCTACGACTTCCTGCCGGCAAGTCACACAGCTGCCGAAGTTGTTCATGGCAAGGCTAACACGACAGTCCTCGCAAATACATAGACAGCGACAGGGCCAGGTGATGATAGCCCGTGGGCTTGTCTGGCAAACAACACAGGGTGGACCATTGGGGCCGAGACCTGTTGCACCGGATTCCCACGTGTGGGTATCGGAACTGGCCGAAGTTGCTGAGCGACGGGAAAGGATAAGCTTCTCAAGGAGTTCAGCTTCCTCTTCGGGAGTAGGCTTTCGCCCTTCGGATCCTGAGTGCATGGCGTTGAGCTGCTGGAGGCGGGATGAGAAGATGATCCGGGATCTCTCCTTTTCAACCTGTTTCTGGTAGCGACTACGCGTCATGATCTGCGGATTCTCCTGGTTTGTTTTGAGATGGGCGGCTAGAATCCTGGCTTCTTCCCTACTGTCGCGATCGCGCGGATCAAGAAGACGAGCGAGTGTGCTCATGTCGATTAGAGGATCTTGGAGTGGCGGGCTTGCTCTATCTGCGTACGGTTCGAGCTGAGTAGGAGTTCGACGACCATCATCTGATCGGTAATCCTCCCAGTCCGACTCTGAAGCATTGGTAGACATGGACACCACGCTCGTGGTGTCGAAGTCATCAGAGGGCGGAGAATAATCGGAGGTTTGATCTTGGTTTCCCCATGCACCGCCAATTTTCCACCAGCTGTACAGTCTGTCGTCCAACCGGCTTTCATCCGAGCCCATCCAGTCTGGCCGATTCGCACGCTCTCGCTTCCTCATCTCGATTTCGACGTCAAAGTCATGATTATCGGGGAGCTCAAGCTCTCCATTTTCAGAGAGGATCCAGAAATCTAATGGCTGTGATGGGTTTGTCTTGTCGATATTAGACTTCTTTCCACGATGGCCAACAATGCGTTTGAGCCACATTGGCCGAGCGCTTATTCCCAGTCGATCAAGCACATTATTGAGCCCATACGCAGCCCAACGGAGCATTATGAGCGAAATTGAGCGGAAGAACGAGAGGACATGCCACAATCTAATAGAAACTCGCACTGCGCCAACTCCCCCAAGCTCGGCTCGAGATTGCACGGCTCGAGCACCGTTTTTGGGGTTCTCGATCTTCTTTTCGCGGTTATAACCGCTCTCCCAAGCAGATTGTTCTGGCATATCGAAACTCGAGAAGCCCATAGCTTCGATAGGCCGACTGCTAGGTTCGCTCTGCCAATTCCCATAAGATGTAGACTTTCGCCTCGAAGCTTCGATCTCAGAAAGGCGATCCTCTTCTAGCCACGTCATCCGCCGTGCAACGACAGATTGGCCCTCATTCAAGAACACGGCTTCACTTGCGGCGGTTAGGGCAACATAGCCGATTCGAAGCAATGTTGTATAAAAGTCTTCGTGTCTGTTTATACGGATACTCCTTATCTGGTTCGAGCCTTGCATATTCTCATGGGCCATCAAGAAACGGTCATAGAGTGAGACAGGCTGATCGTCCGAAGGTAATGAAACAGCGGTGATGGTAAGTGCTAGAGTGTATATTGACAGACAAATCACGATGCCGCCCAATAAAAAGATGTGAGGGATGAATCCCACAATGCAAACAGTCGGGAACCTGAGAACGCCGGTCTCGAGGCTGACGGGCGGACCGCCATCTAACCCCCACGACATGGCTACCATGAAGCAGGCACCCCAAAAGGCGGTGCTGAAAAGCCGATACTTGCTCTGCTTGCCGAAGACTTCTAGTATGTGGGAAGTTGCACTATTGCAGCACGAGATCAATACAATAAGTAGCAGTTCGGGTGTGACATTCATGCGTTCCAAGACTTGCGATCTTGTGAGGAGTTCAAAGACAGAAGTTGAGCTGTCGTCAGACCCACCCGAAAGGGCACTGAGTGGACTTTGTTTAGGAAGACCGAACAGGCCCAGTCCAATGGATTTACTGATCATCGACTCGGCTTCTGCGAAGGCGATTGAATGTTCGAAGATTGACATCCCCGTCTCGGTCATCACGGGCTTGCCTTGTAACGCGCATGAGAGTGTTTCAATAAAGTGACTCAAGCAAAGGAGCATGAATGTCGGCCATAGTAGGGAAAATGATCCATATGGGACACCCGGGTTGGGTCCGCGCGCCATCTTCACAGCACTGCACGACCGTTCCTCGGACTCCCATCCTAATAGGGTCGAGCTAATCGAGAAAAGAACACCCCCATCACTAGAATAATCAAACACAAGTTGCTTTCCGGGGTATCCGTAGCGCATTGTTGAAAAGGACGGCGATGTCTGACATCGGATTCCGCGGAGCAGGCTGAGGATTTGGGAGGCAAAAAGAACGATAGGAATCAACCGGAGAGCCGCACGCCTTTCCCATCCTAGTCGAAGGTGTCGTCGTGTGGATGCATAAATAGTAATTCGATTGAGGATGAGCGCCTAAACCAATCAGCATGGTAAATATACAAGTTGAGAGCGGGGTCACACCTCCACTAGACAAGCAAATGACCAGAGACTTGTCAGATACCCAAAGAATCCACCGAGCTTCTTCATAGCACCTAAAAACTCAGCAATGTAGTAGCCACTCTGCTGGCCGGCTGCATCGGCGAACTCATTCCCAGCCATATCCGCTGCATGTGTCGCGGCCGTACCGCTGACTCCAGCTGCTGAGCCAGCTCCACTCCGGATGGTTTGACCAAGTGCTTTTATTCCGGTTATTCTAGCGAGGGTTTGGGGAACCGTTCGGAGGGCAAAGGTCTCGGCGTGCTGAAAGGCGCGAAGGGGGGAGGTCAAGAGTTGATGCGGTAAAGAGGACAAAGAAGATATGTCCGGCGAGATGGTTGTATTCAACTGTTGCAACAAAGTCGTACTAGATGAGGTTGGTATCGTGGAGGGTTCCACAACGCTTGACATGATGAGGCGGTGTTGTATGCTCCTCTGCGGGTGACCCTTATCAGTGATCCGGGGGAGATGCAATCAACATAGAAGGTCGACAGTGCATCCAACTGTGGGCACAGGCAAATAGACTGTTCAATAGTCGAAAATTGTTCTGGCTAGACTGAAGACCACAGTGAGCAATGCTCCTGTGAACTGCATCCCGCAAATTAAAATGTATGAAAGAGTGATCTTCGCGATGGCGGGCACTTCCTTGGAAGTTCGCCCCGGTGGAGCCGGCCCCAGCCCTCGGTATTTGTTATTTGCTGACTCAGCCACCATAATGAGTCTAGCCTCCAGCTTCAAGTTGATACGCTCTACTCCATAGCCATCTTAACTATAGAACTGTACAATATGGATATGGCTCGTTGTTCAATTTGTCTCCTATGATCCAAACCCTTGGCCAGTGGTAGATTGACAAGCGCGTTATCATTGGAGGATTTTTTGATCTGCCATCATCTTTAGACAAATTCGGCCATAGATGTATTAACCGTTTGCATATGCTCAGATGGGATAAGAGGTCGTTTCACAAAATCAAGGATACTGCTACAGCAAAGAAGGAATTGCATAACGTTAGACGTATTCTATCCGGTAGAACACATGTCATGACATAACGCCGTGACCAAGCATAATTATGTGAGCCAAGTCCGAAACTCCCCATGCTATTGTCGTAAAAGTCGAATATCATATGCCGTTGCGTCGTGAATCATTTCAAAGATGATGCGAGCCGAAACAAGGATCGATACCAGAGGTCTTAGCCAGGGAGGTGGTAAGAAACCCAAGGCCCTAGGCACCATGTCGAAATCAGGTATTCAAGAAATCAGCAGCCATCAGGAGCTCCAGGCACAGCTCAGGTGGAATATCCATGTCCGGCACATTGACCTGGTCCTTGTGCTTTTCATTGTAGCAAAGGTATTCACAGATTTTTTCGACAATGACGCCACTGCAGAGAAACAACTTCGTTAGCAATGTTCACCAAAAGAAAATGCGGAATATAACGGCGAGACGTACGAGAAGTCTTTCAACACGAATTTACCCTCGCGACCCTCGGGGAAATTGGCTGTGGGTGGTTAGTACAACCCCTACAGCAATGGATCTCGAGTCCACGTACTCGAAGAAAGCGGGATGCGTAAGGTCTCTGAGACATAAGCTGTGCTGCGAGGGATAATGAATTCAAATCCGTCATCTGAGACTATAGTCACAAACTCGGAATCCGTGGGTTGCGCCATGATAAAGCACGCGTATTCGCGTAGTTGTAGGAAGTTGGCTACTGTGGAGCGAAAGAGCCTTTTTGAGGTTGGCACGTTGGTCCGTGCTGAAGCTGCCCCAGTGACGCACCCGATCCTCCCGATATCGCGTTTTGCCTGGAGTTTACGGACAAAGAGAACAATATGAGCAGTTTGAGAGTTCCTCTAATTCGCCCTCGGGTGCCAAACTTATTTATTCAAAGCTCATCAAGGCTGGTCAATGTACGCAATGTGGGCTACGTCAACAGCCAAGTATCAAGTCATCCTCTGGGATATACAAAGCGATCATACTCATCCCAGCCAAATGAGAACAATCACATTTCCTTCCAACCTGGAAACCGACTTGCCGGCCGAAAATGCATGATTACCGGTGGGACATCCGGCATCGGCTTTGCCATTGCCGAACGATTTCTGCAAGAAGGCGCATCGACCATAGTCCTCGTCGGCCGATCTCAAACACGCCTAGGGGACGCAGCCACAAAACTCGAGTCTCTCGCAGTTACACTACCAGAACTTGGTGAAAGCAATGATGAAGTCGCGACTCGCGCCCCAGAAGAAGACAACCAGCAAAGCGCGCAAGGAAGGATCCGTCTACTTGTCGGAGACGTATCAAATGCCGGGTCATGGATGCGGGAACTCGAAAAGGAAATGGTATGCTACCTCATTTATCTCGACGAATACTTTATCCTAACCATCATCCAGGCAAATGTGGACATACTAGTAAACGCAGCAGGAATTTCGATATCAAACATTCTGCCAAGATCCGAGCTAGAAGATATCTCCACAATTCTACGCACTAATCTCGAAGGCGCAATTCTCACTTCGCGCGCTTTAATGCGTGCCTCTATCCGCAGCCGGATTCGGAATCGGAGTGATCCAGCTGCGGGGACCAAACCCCCGTCGAAATGCATCATTAACGTCTCCTCTTTACTCGCGCTCAAAGGTGGAACTGGCGCAGTTCCGTACGCTGCTTCCAAGGCCGGCCTTCTCGGTCTGACACGGTCATTGGCTGTTGAGGCATCAGCTTCGATGAAAGATATTGTGATTCGGTCAAATGCTATTGTGCCGGGGTATATTGAAACACCTATGGTTGCAGGTATGTTGGTTTGGACATTCCGTATTTGTTTGTGCGTTAGCTGATCCCGATACTAGACTTCACACCCGGGGAAAAGAGCAGGCTGAAAGATCTCATTCCTCTTCATCGATTTGGAGATCCACGTGAGATTGCTGATGCAGCTGTGTTCTTGGCACAGAATGAATATGCCAACAACTGTGTGCTCAATCTTGATGGCGGATTGAGCGCTGTTTGATTCAATTCAAGTGAAACATGTAATACCAATAAAACAAGTGTATTTGTGAAGAACATCTGCGTGTATAAATTGGATGTTTCCAATGATGCACTCTCATATATACCACAGCATTCAGACAGCTATAACAAATATATCATCGACAATCAAACCCATCGATCCACCATTAATCCTAACAAATACGGTGGTAACTATAGAACTGTGCTTTGCAGAGATCAAAGTGACAGATTCTCCGTCCACAGTAACATTCGAAGCATTGTCAGAGAAAGTAATTTCCAGAATTTGCCATTCACCTTGTCTATAGGGTGTAATAGCAGTAAACTTCACAGTAGCAGACATCGAAATCCCCAGGATTTCAGCTGATGGCGAGGTGCCAGTACCAGCCGAATTCCAAATTCTCACATTAAGACGGAACGGACCAGTGAGAGAAATAGCTCTGGTAATTGAAACACCAGAAGCGAGCGAAAGCGATTTACCTAGCCCGCCGGACGGGTGTGCCACAATAGAGACGGTTCCTGTGGTGGTCCAGCCGGATAAACTCGAATCATCGAAGCGACTAATCCATGCCGGAGTCTTTGTTCCAGCACCAGAGTAGAATCCCTGATTCTTGTTTGCCCTTGTGGGGTTGTTGAAGAAATACACGGCTGCGTCACCAGGCACAGCGATTGCAGAATCCAAGGTAGCATAACCAGTCAGGAGTTTATATGCCTTGGGGTCCCTCAATCCAGGAGCGGCTAGACCTGGCGCCCCAGTGAACGAATTGGTAGCGTTGGAGTAAGTGTCGATGGAGCCGTAGAATGCATTATTGTTCACGGCAAAGGTGGTGTCACTCAACTTCCATGCAGCCTTGCCAGAACCTTCTTTCCTGAAGATGTTATTAATCAATTGAACATCGAGGGTTGATGCTGTGGCTTCTGTAACAATATAGGGCGAGAGACCGTCTCGAATATAAACGGTATTTTTGTAGATCCTTCCACCAAAGGACTTTCTCATGGCAGTCTATCGGCATCACGCCTTCGACGCCAGCGAGGAATTCATTAGCGCTCATGGCGAACCCTCTGATCATTTTCGGCGGCATTTTCATAGGCTCTCATACTCTAGTTGTAATTCATGTACATACGACGTGCTCTCGGATCTCGCTTCGAGTTCTTAAGCGAGCCGACCCGTTTGAAGCGAGAAAACACCATATAGTTGGATATCTCATAAACCGTAACTCTCAATTACTTGGCCTTACTTGCCCTTACCAGTCTACAATCCTTCAACTAGTTCCTCAATTCCCGCAGGATTCAGCCCAAACGTAAGCTTAATACTTTGGCCAGGCTGTGTTGTTATTCTCAGGTCATATTCTAGTAATCTATCAACCCGAAAAAACGCCATTGAGTAGTTGAGATACAAAAGTGCCATAATGCATTATCATGTCCATATCCAAAGCATGCCCATCAACCTGTGATATTGAACCCCTCCACTTAACTGAAATCAGGTTCGCCTTTATGCCATATGATACAGAAGGATTTGGAGGGGGTAGGTAGTAAGCAAAAAAAAAAAAAAAAAAAAAAAAGGGGGAAATACCGAAAGTATGAAGAGAATGATATCAAGATAAACAACTGTGATGGCTGCTAGTAATACCTTGAGCTGTCACGTGAAAGTCCGATTTCAGCATCAATCATCAATCATGATGATACCTCCCTCATCATCGTTGGCATCATCGTCAAGAACGATAGCTTCAATGCCCTTAGAGTCAGGAACGGATGCACTGGCGAGCCGTTTGGCATCGTGGCTGCTAAGCTCCACCTCGTCACTTGAGCCTTCACGCTTGCGCTTCCCAGTCACAGTTGGATCATCAAGCTTCTCGGGCTGCAGGGCATCACCGTTAATTGGTAGAATATCGGCAGAAGGCTGCGCAGGCTGCGCAGGCTGCGCAGGCTGCTCGGGCTGCTCGGGTTTTAGGGGTATCTCAACCATCTTCTGCAGCGCTGCGGGTTTGGAGTCCTTGGAAGATGGCTCATTTCTCCAAATCAATTAGTCAATATTGCCCAGTGTTCTTGAGAAGACGGCGCTTTACCTTGCAATGATCACCAGCTCAAGATTGATTCGCTCTGGTTCATTCTCATCGTATACCGTGATGAAGCTCTCATTCTTAATGCCGAGGTCAAACAATTTTTCCTGCAGATTATCGGTGAAATCGGGGTCGTAGATCGATTTACTGCCAAAACCAATAGAAAGATATTCACCATAACCCAGCTCCATCCGAAGAACGTCCTGGATGAGGTGTTCAAGGGTTGCGAGCTCCAGGTCAATTTCAACCTGAGCCACCGCAGGGGAACAGACAGGGCAATCGGGGTTTGGGGGGTTCAACGAGTCTGAATTGATCGCACGAGCACCGGATCTCTCCAGGAAAACCTTTTAGAGCGATGGTTTGTTAGCTTTGGTAGTAGTGGGCACGCTTGTTCGTTTCTTACCATTTTGGCCTGCATCAAGTTGTTTTGAAACACCTTCAATGACTGAAGAACACATAGTCCAGCCGTCATGGCATTGGTTGTTGCAATGGCAGGAATGATATTGCCCGCCATCTCTGTAGAAGCTTTGTTAATAATGATCGTCTTGAAATGTACACTTATTTGATAAACTCACGCTTGACATCGAATTTGGATTTGAGCTCAAGGTGGAAAATAGCAGCCCGTAGATTAGCTGTTGCGGTAACGAAGTCCAAAGTGTCCACATCATCTTTATCGAATGTCAGGATCGGGGAATCTTGGTCCGGAAGGCTCTTTTCTTGAAGTTGCTTTAGACGATGGGTCAACCGGTTCAAGCTATAGTGTGTTAGTTTATTCAACATGTGTTGTCGGCAACGGATAGTTCCTACCTATCCTTGAAAACGCTGAGATTCTCCGCTAATGTCCACACTACCTGGTCATGCGTGGAGATGGTCGAAGCAATCGAAGCGGATTCTTCTTGGAGTTGAGCAAAGTCAAGGAGCTGTGGTGGGTCCCTTTCCTTCCACATATCCTGCATGGCCTGTAATCGTATTATGTCCCTTCGAAAAACTTTATCAAAGATCTTCTGATAGGCTTCCTCGGTGCCTAGCGATTGTCTCAACTCTTTGAGCTCCAGTGCTTCCTTGCGCAGTTCTGCAATTTCATTTGCTAGCCGTATGTCAGGTTCAGCGTCAAGTAATACAAGAAATTGAACCAACCATTATCTGCGTTCTCCGAGGTATCCACCTCCGGTGCTTCGTCTTCGCTATCGCCAAAAAGTTCCCTACTCAAAGGTGAGCATTCAAAGTGGACAGTTTAGGAGCTGGGTCTTACGGCAAGAGGTAGCTCTTCGCCCAAACAATGCAATGAATCGGCTGGCTGGGGTTGGTGCGGAGCGTACACACGGGGAACGACTTGGGGGTTTCTTTCGGTGTGCAATCATAGCACTCGGTTTGCGACTAGTAGAATGCGCAGTCAATAGATGCGCCCAATCTGCAGAGCTAGATGTCACTTTTCTGAAATACCTTTTGAATGACTTGAACCTGGCCATTGAAGCCAGTAGTTCCACTTTCGATCAAGGGTACATTGGCCGTAAGGCACATCTTGTTCACATGACGTCTTGCGGCGATGTTGTCTAGCGCATTAAATACGACGTTGAAGGACTCGAACCACGAGACGCTAAACTGGGCGTCCATAATGTTCGCATGGTAGGCCTCGAGCTTTGCGTCAGATCGGAACTTTTGCGCAACTTCCTTGGCAACCTAGATGAAAGTATCCATATCTCAGTATTCCATATCCGCTATCGCTGAACCGCTCACACAATGCGGAAGCGCGGCGCTTGAGTCGGGGAGGATCGCAAGGGAGCGGCGCAAGTGCGCGGGGTGGGTTGGTTTGACGTACTAAGGCCTTTGATTTCTTAATATGCTCATGTCGAAACAGGAACTGACGATTGAGATTGCTCAAATCAATGGTATCGAGGTCGATGATGTGGATTTCGCCGAACCCGGTGAGGACGAGGTTTTTCAGTAGCTCGCAGCCGATGCCGCCTGCGCCGACAAGCAGAACGCGTGACTACACGTGATGAGAGAACTGTCAGAATATATTTTCAGACCAGTGTCACTTGAACACCAGGATTACGCGCCAGCTGTGCTGTACTTACCTCTCTGAGGGAGCGGGTGAGGTCTACTCCGAGGGAGCGCTTGAGGGAGCTCTCCCGCATGGCGGGCAGTAGACGATGATCGCGATCAAGTAGTATTGTAGTGTTGTAATGGTTGGATGGTGTAGTGATGTGGTGATGTAGTGATGTGTTTGTTCTAAAGATAAATCGCGAAGGGGGAAAAGGTTAAAAAAGGGAGCAAGTGGAAGAAGTGCTGAGCCGGAAACAGTGACCGTTGTTCGATGACGGCACTTGCTAGGAGCCTCACACGTGGGTTTCCACTTACTTTCGGTCTACACCTTTCTATTTGTTTTTTGCTTGTGAATAGGTGAATAGATAAATAGAATATATGGTGTAGAATGTAATTGATGTTGTTTGGTGATATTTCCTATAAGTGATTATCTTTGCATTCCGGCAAAGTATATATGTAGTGGCGCATATACTCCGATCGCCATCTTTTGAGAAAATGAACTTGAGTTTGATCCCAAAATAAAAGGTGCCTGTTTCATGGTCATGACGATGCTATCCATATATTCTTCTGATCAGGTACCAGGTAGGCCAGACCCGCAGAGCCTGTGTTACTACAAACCAAACTGTAACGTACTCACCTCTCTTGTGCTTATAGCGAATACTTTTAGACATAAGTCGATATCACAGGCCCTATACCACCATAGCCCAAATCTGAAAGCTTTCCAGATACATTATGGGCATATTGTGTCTGCTTACATAACCGGTGACTCTATCCAGAGACCATCGGATCAAAATCTCGGTGTGGCGAGAAAAAAAAAACCACGGATCGTTCAAAGGGTTCGTCGTGTTTAAGTATTTTTATACACCGTTTTCTTGTTCTAGCCTCAAAAGGATTCCAATATCCAGGTGGGGTGGAATATCTGCCGGGACTAGCTTCTCACCGCAGGAATCCTTTCGATATCAAAGGAGATACCCCTGACTCCTTATATTCCCATTTGCTTTCAATCAAGATTAAACAACACGAATATCATGCCATCATTGGACCCAATTCCAGCCCAGCGAAATGATCAGATCGAGGCCAATTCCGACGATGAAGCCGATCCTGAGTTGGTAGAGCTTCTTCGCCAGCATTTCGGACTGGGCGAAAGGCCAAAGAATGCCCCACCAGAGACTAAAGTGCTTGAGGGGGCTCAGTATGTCTTTGACAATGCCATTGATGTCGCAGTCAGCCTTGCTCATACCAAAGGAGCTGCTGAAACTATATGGCGTATGATGCAGAAGAAAGAGTATTCCACGCACACCTGGTCGGAGCACGAATTACACCCACAGACCAAGGACGAGAGCACAGTCGATTTCATCTTTACAATGGACTTGTTGAACTTTAGTTTCTGGTCTGAAGAGGAGGAAGAGCCAAAACGTTTCTGTATTGAATATCGTGGCAAGCTGTGGACTGGTTATTGGAGTCTGGTTGCTGCACTACAAAGAGCCCTTGATGAAGGTCAGTTCTGTTAAATGAAATTTACTTTTAGGATGATAAGTGCTTACCCCAACTTCAGACATTCCAATCACAACCCCCGACTTCTGGGTGGACGAAGAGAGGTGCACGGAGGAGCTACTTAAACATGTATTCCGATCTGCAACAGATGGAGAGATTCCTATGTTCAAAGAACGAGTGCAGTGCCTTCGTGAAGCAGGCGAGGTCCTTTGCGAGGTATTATCCCTCGCTACTTTGGCTTTACGAGGTATACTAACCGGATATAGGAGTTCGGCGGCAGCTTCGTCAACTGCATTGACAGCGCCAACCTCTCCGCTGCAGGACTGGTCAATATCTTGACAGAGAGCTTTGCCTGCTTCCGCGACGAGACCATCTTCCACGGAAAGAGAGTCCGACTGTACAAACGTGCTCAAATTCTAGTTGCCGATCTCTGGGCCTGTTTCAATGGCGAAGACTTTGGTGAATTCCACGACATTGACAAGATCACCATGTTTGCAGGTACGACTATTACTGACCTCACCACCCTGTCAAACTCATTCTAACTATATATCCTAGACTACCGCATTCCGCAGATGCTACACCAGCTGAACTGTCTTCGCTACGCACCTAAATTGGAAAACCATATCCGTGACCTGAAGCCCATCGAGCCAGGCTCAAACTGGGAGATCGAGCTTCGTGGAACGAGTATCTGGTGTGTTGAGTTGATCAAACGAGAGATCGAAAAACAACACCCCGAGGTCAAAATGAACCGCCAACCCCACCTTTCAAAGAGTATTTCAGACGGCAGTGAGAACTTCGAAACCGACAACTCGGATGAGTCGGGTAATAAATTGAAGATCGTGGAAAAACCGCGAAAGACGTATGGCATCAATGCGATTCTGATCGACTTTTTCTTGTACGACACGATGAAAAACCTAGAGGCAGAGAAAAATGAGTCCATTCCTCATCACCGGACGAGGAGCATTTGGTACTGAGAATGAGTGGTCATTGGGTTTGGCGCCATTGACGGCGCATGGAGTTGGGTTACCACAATTTTGACTCTGGGCATTGGGTTGCTCTGGGGAAAAAGGAGCATACAATTAAAACATAGACATGGCAAAGCCTATCTCTTTGCTTATCGAGGATATATATAGAAATTACATGTTGATTCATATCTTGGGGTATCAATTGAACTAGTAGGCTGTGTCCCCTTTGGAATAAGCTCTCGTCGCATGGCGATTAAGCAGCTGCACCTTCGATGCGAGCGATGATGTCCGCTTTCCAATTCATATAATCCTCTTGACGATCGTCACTCAGCCAGTCAATTCGATCCTGCATCATCGTCCCCAAGCCAGGCAAAAGACCGCCACGTGGAACATGATCTGACTGCGATGCACGAGTCCCACTCCCGGCCGCCGAACGTTTAGGCGGCCTAACACCCCTAAGTGTCGCATCTTCTTCGTCCAGATCTTGGTAAGACCTGCCTTCCTCATCTTCACCGTAGAGCTGTCCAGCATAGGGGATGTTCTCAAACCATTCCTGGCCTTTTGCCCACCCTTGCTCCATGATAAGAGTGATCCATTGGTCAACATCATCGCGATGTCTCCGGTCATTAGCCTTCAACCCAAGGCTGTTCAATGCCGTCTGACGCATTTCAATAAAAGTCTTCTTGTCCATCTTCTGCGCTTCGATATCCGCCTCTGCATCCGGCCCGGGGTTACGCCGACGGGCAAGCACGAGGAAGTATACAGCCACAGCCATGGCATAGACCAGTTCTTTGAAATCATTGTCCTTATCAGAGCCATTGATAGAAACAATAGGCTCCAGGAAATCCAAGCTCTCCCGGTCCCATCCCGGTTCGTCGTTGGACATGCTCGACGTAAGATAGAGGACAGACGACACGCCAGAAAAGATATGCGGAGGCAGGGTCCTCGAGATTGGAGGCCTAGACCAGGTGTTTGTGCGCGGGGCAGGTGTCGAGAGAATCTTGCATACAGTCCGAATAGCTGTCATTACCCAAGCCGGGGCATCTGGAATGATGGTTGACCCGTGAACATCCTTCGTTCGGGGGACTGTGGCCTTTCTTGCTGTTTTTGAGGGACTCTCGAGCCTGTTTGCTGTGCTCATACTTCGTTTCAAGGGCGTTGACTTTGAAGGTGTATTCTGTAGGCCTCGCGGTGTTGGTGCTACTGCCTTGGAAGGGGTGTTCCTGGCTGCCGTGCCCTTCGTTGGTGTGGTCTGCGCTGAACCGGCGCGTGAGGGTGTGCCGGGAACCGACCCGCTTGTTGAGCGTTTGAGGCCAGTGGAGCTTGATGTGAGAGATCGGTCGAGGTATGAATAAAGCTTTTTGTATACGCGCGGAGGACATGGCGCATGTCCGAGCAGCGGAGGAAGTTTAAGAGTTCGGGTCAACCTATAGATGTTAAGTGTAAACAATTAGCATCTTAGAATCAAGCCAGCCATAGAAAGACTTCATTCGGGACTTGAAGCCCACCTTCTGCAAGCGATTTCGGCGCAGGCATATGGTCGAGCGATTTCCTCTTCGGGCTTCAGACTGCTCGAGAAGCTCCGGGACTGTGCCACTAGTGACATTGCATAGCTGAGTAGTTCTTGTGGGAGGTCGTTGGCATGAGTCGGCACTAATGTGCTCAACGCCTGTTCCACCGGTCGATTGTTCATTGTTCTTGAGGTGTTGTGGATCAAATCGGCTTTGCTTGAGGAAGGGGCGATGTAGGATATGGCCGTACTCAGGCAAGTCAGGGACAATTGAGAAGGCAAAGGGCAAAGGTTAGTTCCCGAGAACCTTCCAGCGTATCCAGATTTCAAATTGAACCAACTGTGAATTGAAGGGATCAGACTGACAACCAAACATCTGCAATTAATTGCCTGGCGTATCGATAAGAAAACATGACTAAGCACTCTATCGGGCCCAGGGCTCGTGGTCTCGATGCCGCGTCTGGTCCTCTTGCAGTTCAGTATTACCTCACCGAATCCCCTCAACATGTCTGTTACAGTAAGTTCACATATCAATCATACTTCGGACTATGTCTAAAACCCTTCTTTCTATGGCGTGATGCTAATTACGGTTTCAACAGTTACATACCACCCAAGGTGATCTCAAGGTCGAGCTTTTCTGCGAGGCAGTACCCCAAACCGCAGAGAACTTCCTCGCCCTCTGCGCATGTGGCGCATATAACAACACACCATTCCACCGCCTCATCGCAGGATTCATGGTCCAGGGCGGAGACATCTCTCTCGGCCCCGCTGCGCATCAAACAAGTACGAAACCAATGCTCGATTTCGAGATCCCGAAAGGCGGCACATCGATCTACCACCCGGCAGCAATGAACCAAGAAATCCATCTCCCGTCGCTCCGACACAACGCACGGGGCATTCTCTCAATGGCATCTCGTCCGGTGAAGGACAGGACGGCGCCTGGCTCTCAGGGCGCAACGGGCGCAACGATCAACGGGAGTCAATTCTTCATTACGTTCGCGCCGGCACCACATCTTGACGGTGCCAGTACTGTATTTGGGAAAGTGTTGAATTTAACACCCCAGGACGAAGGCGGTGATGTTCTTGCCAAGCTCGAGAAGGCGAATGTTAAGGTCGACAAGAAGGGAAAAGTTTCTCAACCCAAGGAGGGTGATAGTTTTGAAGCATTCAAGGTCAATAACGTTACTATCCACGCGAATCCATTTGCGACGTGAATTTTTGACACTCGAATTCTCTCATGAATGCTGGATGATATCCCAGGATCGAGCTGCGAGAGCCACGCTCAGAATGAACACAGCTATTAGCTTAAGCTGAAGACACCTGAAACCCTATCATGTGAAGCCCAAACCCACACTCTCCCCAGTCATCCGAGTCTGGCTCCTTACCGACGTCTCTCTGCTGGCTTTGTCGATCTGTCTTACTAGCACCATTATGTGGCACCGCGAAATATGGGACACTCTGGTGGAATTACTCCCAGAAAGTGAGCCAAGCAGATGGGTGGGCACATTTTGTCTGGCGATGAACACTTGCTGGCGAACGCTGGGTGCGATTAGATCTACTCTAGTGATCAAAAGAACGCAGAGAGACGGAAAGGGAAACTATATCGAGGTATCGAATATATCCAACACTGTCAATTATCACCATAAGCCCCCAATTAGATCACGAGATCCGAAAGAATATCTAAGTACAAAGCAACCATTGGTTCCCTATTTATAATCCTCCCATTCCATCCAATTGTGTCCAACCCTCTCCAAGGCGAAATAAATCCTGCAAAATTTTAACCTGCAGATTTACCTTTGTCTGATCTGACTGCGCCGCATAATTCAAGAATGACAGAGCTGAACATGACATCAAGAACCGAATAATTTGCAGGTTGGCTGGTGCCGCTGCATTTCCAAGATACGCCTCCACAAAATCGGTTGTGCTCTCTTGCATCTCCTGTCGAGTAAGGCCATACTGCTCGCCTGTCCGTCGCAGCATATGCACGAAATGGCCTAGATCTCGCTCTGGTACCCCAACCGGCTCACCATTCTCGTCCAGAGAACAGTGCAGCGTCGTCGTGTCGATCATAGTGACATGTCCCGTCGCGTGGTCATAGAAGAAATTTCCAGGATGGGCATCCCCGTGCGCGACAGTGGTGCGCGGACGACTAGCAAGATCACGCTTGCAGTCGGTAATAAGTTGATTCATTTTCGTGGGGAGCTGGTCCGCTTCGAGTCCCGCGGAACGAATAATGTCTTTGTACACCAATGCTTGCTGGACTCGCTTCGTTGCCGCGGTAAAATACCACTCGAGATACTCTGTGCCTGGTCGCCCTTCGACGCTATGAGTGTGTAATCTGGCCAAGGTACGTGCGACTGCTTGTACACCGGCAGTGAAGACGGATAGCATCTCTCTTCTCACAGGTCCTGGTGGTAGGCGGCCCATCTGCATCATGAGCTGGTAAAGGGATACTCCGGGTGCAACTTGATACGTGACCACTCCAGCTGGTTTGGTATCCCACGTCATCCGCCCAACGGCCAACGGGGCGGCAGTCTTGATGTCACCCTTGGTCTGCAGGAGAAGCCATTCAAGGCTCGACAACTCCTCCGTGATCCCGTTGTCCAAGCCGTGGACGAACAGTTTAATTACAGCAACCACACGACCTTTGGATGAGTCATTGGATGCCAGCGATGATTCTTCGTTAGCAAATTCATCGTTGGCATGGGCAAAGAAAATGATAGCACCAGAAAAACCAGCAGGGTGAGTGGGATCTAGACTCCGTAAGTTGACAGGAGATCCCACGGCAGAAGAGACATGCTCTTCTAGTGCCGAAATAGTTGGAGATATCTCTTGAAGATTTTCCATGACATCTTCGGTCTGTTTCAAGTTCGGCTTTCCACTGCGATTTCGTGTCCGTGCGGCTCGACGCATTGACGATACTACGCTCATCCCAAGTGATGGACGAGGACATGATGAATATGCCGGCGCAACACTGCCATGAGCCATCTGCACTGTATCTCCCTCGCCCTCCATCGCGGAGCGAAGCAGAGCCTTGGCCGCGTGTTTCCACGAATAACCCCGCATGATTCGCTGTAGAGAGCGAGCGTGTCGTCTCGTTTGCTCCGGGTAGCATCTCATCTGGTCGATTCGATAAGCCCAAACAGCTACGCGCTGGCTTGTCGGTGAAGGCACAATTCCATATGTGCTCTCATCCATCACCACACAGGCCTGACCAATTTGTGGCGGAATGCGACTGCCATCAAGCGCAAGCTGGCCCGCACCGCTTTCCTGCGTTACTAGGATGGGAACACCCAGCCCGGCCACTTCGGTAAAGATCATCCCGAATCCCTCGTGCATTGATGGCATAATCACCAGGTCCGCGTTACAGTAGAACCGTGAGACAGCGTTAGGATCATCAGAGAAAGGGTGCAACCTGACAAGATCTGACATGCCTGTCATATCGTCGACGGCCTGCTGCCAGCGCTCCACGTCTTCTGCTGGAAGTCCCAGTACATCCAGAGAGATATCGTTGCCAGAGAGTGCGATCTTACGCACAGCGTACACGGCGTCATCTAAACCTTTGGCAGGATCGTCTGCTCGACCAGCGAGGAGGACCCGAAAGAGGTCGCTCGGCTGTCGCTGCTGTCGCTGCTGCGTGCAAGCATCACCCATGCGCACGCCTGGAACTAGTTCATGGAAGCGAGGACCCATCATGTTGGCTCGTGGCCGATTGCATTGGCCCATCCACTCTCGTTCACGTGCTTCAGTTGTTAGTACAGGCCCAACTCCAACTGCCAAATCTGCTTTAGGGAGAATCCTCTCATCGAGCATTGCCAACCGAGTGGCTTCAACATAGCCTAGCTCTCGTGTTTGTCCGTACCATTTCCACGCATAATCGGACTTACGCAGCGCACTAGTGTGTGTGATGAGCGCGAGCTTGGCTGTGGGATACCATCTTTCGCGGATCAAGGAAGCTGCGGTGCTAGAGTATCGTGAGTGGCCAATGATGAGGTTGAATGGGGATGCATGCTGGTTGTCTGGAATTGGTAAACTATAATCTCCTGGCTGGTGTACCTTCGCTACATGGTAGAGCAAGGCACTTGGATCGTCTCCTCTAGAGGGAATGCAGACCACTTTAGCCCGACCATGGCCCGATGATGCCGTTTTGACTTCATTCTCAGGCTGCACCATAAACAGTGTGACTGATGCATTGGGAATTTCCGACATGGCTTTGACTAGCTCTTGGTTTAACAGAGGCAGGCCTCCTTTACCTGGCCCGCTGGCATTGGCAACAACGAGCACTCTCCATGGTTGGATCCTTTCCGGCGAGATACTGACAAGACGTTCCCATTCAAATTTGATCTTTTCGCTGAGTTGCACAGCCTTATGTTCGTCGCGCGATGTACCTTGCTTGTCCACAGCAGACCATAGTCGAGATAGTTGCGTGCGTGTTTTGAACAACCGGACAAGCCCTTCGTTGATAGGGATACCATTCGCCTGGTACGCTTTCCAGAACTCCGCCTGAACATGGCCAATATCAGCTTCACTCATTCCGAAATCCCCGGCATACTTCCGCAGGCGTTCGTGAAACCCAGCTGCATCCATTTCTGCCGGCCCAATAGGTCGGCCGTTCGCATCCATCGAGCGAGCCAGTCCCCCGTAGTCGATCATGGTGATTCCTTGGATGGGGTCCCAGAAGAAATTTCCCGGCGAGGCATCGCCATGCAGTAGTGACGCCACACCTTCTTCCCGCGAGTAATCAATCGCTCGATCGACCAACGAGGCCAGTTGTTGTATTTTATTTGATCCAATAGCGCGTTCATACCGCCCTCGGGATGGGCCCTGGATCTCTTCAACCCAACCTTGCAACTTGCTACGCACCTTGTCGGCGACAGATTCGCTGGCGCTGCTCCATTCGGCTTTTTCCCGGTGCAGCTTGGCCAGTGTCAATGCCACTCCTTGGACGGCGGAAATCAAGTCGGTCATCAATCCATTAAATTGATAGCCCAAAATCTCAGCGGTGGGGATATCCTGTGATGGGGCTTGGTTTGATTTATGATTGATTGGGATCCCATGGAGCGCGCCGCGAATAATATCATTCATCAGTTCTCTTGTTTCGTCGAGACAAGGTTGCTTTGCGATCAATCGGAGAATGGAGATCCGACCAATGTCACGGATGATTGTGTTGATTGCCCGACCTTCTGCAAGCTGGTAGACAATCACCCCCATAGGCTCTGCAGTGCTCTCATCGCGCGTCCTCCCCACTCCAAGGGGCCGAGCAGCAGAAGGTGGATCGGAAAGAGATAGCAACCTCCGGTATGCAACGAGTTCTTCGAAAAAGTCTTTAAGACATGCTGGTGGATATACCTTTGTGACGGCGACAGTCTTTTCTGGGTTGCTACTGTTCCGAACAAAGTAGATGAAACAGCCGGATTGGCCTTCTGCTCCGGATGCCTGAAGACGGTGGAGCTCAACGGAGTGACCGAGGACGGATTCAACGATTGTGTTGACAGAGCCAGTCTCAGGCAATGCAGTTAATGTGAAGTTGCCGTCATCTTCTGTTCGAATAGTGAGCTTGTCGAGGGTAGTTGGCAAGACGCCCTCCTCCAGTCTGGCGCACTCCAAGGCGGCCATTCTATTGGATTAGAAAGTTTTGACAGAAGGACAGAACACAGATGGGAAATAGAGGATATAAATATATTATTCGGTTTCATTCCACTGTAGTCGGCAAAAAAGGTTCTCTAAGCTCAAGCTCAAACTACGCGGATCAGACGACGACGATCCACATACTATCAGGGTCTTTCCTCAGCCGTGCCACCTTATGTAACACCCGGTGAATCTATGTGTGACCAGGTCAATCTACAACAGAATATGCTGTCTGAATCATGCCCTCGCGGTTGGATGGGGAACGTCGGATGGTTAGCGTTCTACTACCCCGTATTCCGTACGGTAATACACGTTGAGCCACCGGCATGCCCAGCTCTTTTGTGGCTGAATAGATAGGTTCAAGCAGGCAAATCAATCTTTCCATTGCCCCCATGCGGGCTAGATGTATCTCAATTAAGGGCTGAGTGGCTGAAAATGTGATGGGCGGAAGGAGCTACATCTACATATCACACATCAAGTCCTTAGGTATGACTTTATTGAAAGCCCAGATGGTCAATTTACAAACATGAATAACTAAACAGCAGTTAGTTAGTTAACTAATTGGGCGGTATTAAGTACGTAATACGCAGCTTCTATGAGTACAGTGACGGTATCAAATCAATGTCAATCCAGCTAGTCACAAAATCTACCCCAGGACATTTTAGCATCCACATAGTCAGTGAACTGTCCATAAGTAAGCTACTGTGTCTACCCCCATGGGAATCTGATAATTTGATCAATAGTGGTCGGCCTATAAGTTACTATAGTATCGCAGCTGAAGAGCTATGGAGTTGAAGTGCCTGGGCATGAACCACTCTCCTATATGCCAAAAAGGTCGACCCACCCGAAACCATGGTTCTTCCCGCTGCATCTTCCCGAACTTTAACCTTGGGAATTATGTACCTAGTAGGAACATACAATTCAAATCGTATGGATCAATTGTCTTTCCAAAAATTTGTATCGCGCAGATAGAAGAGTAATAGGCTATAATTCATGAACCACAATATGACCGCCTAAACGGTATGATATACATGCAGCCTGCTAGGTTGCATGTTATGAGCATACTTTGTATTGTACTCCGTATGTATGTCTTGAATATTAATAGTTCAAGTCAATATGGATATGCGATGACAAGTTGCGGGGTAGTTCTATAGGGGATTTTGTAAAAGATTCTAGATTGTCACGTCACGTCATATATAAATGTTCACCATTTGCGGCAATTTATCATGCGAGCTACTTCTCGTATAGTTATTGCGAATTCCGAATTCGGGATATGCATTGACTGCGACTAATAATAAACTCCACGGAGTGCTCCGTATAGCCCAAAATCTAACGGAGAGTCAATGAACTGGAAATAAAACCGGGCTATTTCGCAATCTGGCTGCAAATATAAGCACAGCCTGCCACGGCGCGGTAATATGTCAAATCGTTACAGGTAAATGACAAAGATCGAATACGATGCTCACTCAATTCACCAAATCTCTGCAATTAGAGCCAGATCATCCTATGAATCTTTACCGCACTACCAGGAGGTAGGCGAATCATCTTTATCAAATTGAATTCAAGGATAAAAGATCGTAGACTCTTAAACCCCTTACACGCATATTGAAGGAGTATACTTATCTTGCTGGCAGAATTGACTAGCGATACTATGTTTAGTTAGATACTTATCTCTCCCTCCCTCTGATTATGTTGCATCTGTGACGATTTAATCTTTATTTCTGTCCGTCATGCAGTGTACAAGTTTGTCAAAAATAAAGATAAATTTGAATGCCTGAGCCAAACCACTGGGTCCGATGGTGATCCTGCAAACATGTAGGTTCAAAATCAGGGACTTCAATTTGTACCTAGGTACAAGTAAAAGTACCCATACTGGAAATATAAACCATTTGTACTAAGTATGAAACTGGTGACTTTGGCCCGATCTTTAGGTTGAATATGCATCGATGTGCAACACTTGCAACACAATCTTGGATCCTGCAAAATTACTAACCAATACAGTGGCCTTACTCGTTTCCATCCGGGGCTCCAGTGACTGACAGCACCGTCAGGATTGAAACATGTGTCGGAGTCAGGGGTCAAAAGGTGGCTTGTATTAAATGGGTAAAAACTGCGTTAAATACATGTGGGGCTCAAGCCCTAGCTATGCGCTGACATGGGCATACAACAGCTCAACTGTGACCCTTCAGCTTTCAAACTCGCAGCCAACTCCCCGCATGGGAAGACAACCACACACCTTCCTGGGCAATTCCCATTCCTCCTGTCTCAACTACCCGGTCAAAGTCAACCTTGAGATATAGGGTCACCGATTATCGAGAACTTGCGGCCATGGATTCGGCTAACGCTGCTCATGAATTGCTCCAATATCTTCGCTTTGGATATCCTCCAGTTTTGTTCGTCGTTCTTTTTGCCTTTTTTTTGGTCCATTCCTCTCAGGTGGCCAAGAATGTTAGTCGGAATACTGAAGTGCAATATGGCCCTGGTGGAAAACCACTGCCCAGTCGAACTCGAATGATGATGGCAGTAGCCAGGGACTTGCCCGCGGAGCTTGCGTGGAATAGTTCCAAAGGCTTGTTTGCTTGGTTAGATCTTTTTGTGTTGGCAACCTATATTGCAGAGGCAGCGATTTATATGATCCATGCTATGATCTCAAAGTCAGAGCAGTGGTGGTGTGGCCAAGCTGTGGTGGTGGGACTTCTGTTTCAAAAATTGAAATCAAAGTTAACAAAACAACCCAGGTCTTCGTCGTTGGGTCTTTCTTCACTCATACCGTCATCTTCATCTCTTTACTCGAGGCAAACCCTGCACCATCAATCGCGCAATTCATCCCATGGCTGTCGGCCATTCCCTTCGAGGCCGCGATTCTCTCAACTTCCGTCTCAATGTATTCCCATACGCACCGTGAACCTACAGTCAGTGATCCATTCGGTGGAAGATTACGCACAAAGATCACATTTTGGGAGGCATTGGAGATTTCCGCAGGTTCTGTGCGGATTGTTTTTCTCACACTGCTGGTCACGTCCTACATCTTCAAATCTACCCGCAAACATCGAGCCTCCAAGGAGGCCGAAGATGCCGATCCCGAAGAGACTACTAGTCTGCTAGATTCAAGAGGCAATGCCCACTCGGATGACAGTGATGTCTTGACCGATTGTCAACAGACTCCCGAAGTAGAAGCGTGGGTCCGGCCCTTAACAACTCCTTCCACTAACTGGATGGAATATCTGAGTGGTTATTCTCTATTCTTTCCATATCTATGGCCTTACAAATCTCCCCGGTTACAAGTTGTTGTCGTCATCTGCTTTGCTATATTAATTGTACAGCGAGCGGTAAACATCCTAGTCCCATATCAGGTGGGAGTGATTGCAGACTCATTGTCCACCGGTGATGGAACTTTGCAGGTGCCTTGGATGCCCATCTGTTTATATATCATTTATCGTTGGCTTCAAGGCAGCCAAGGTTTCCTTGAGTCAGTTCGTTCAAACCTGTGGATTTCAGTGAGCCAGTATGCATACATGGAGTTATCAACCGCTGCATTTGAGCATGTTCATAACCTAGGACTGGACTTTCACCTGGGTAAAAAGATGGGCGAGGTTCTTTCTGCTCTCACCAAAGGCAGCTCAATCAACACTTTCCTTGAGCAAGTGACCTTTCAAGTGTTGCCTATGTTCATTGATTTGGCCATTGCCATTGGATATTTTCTAGTCGTATTTGACGTGTACTACGCATTGGCTGTCGCTATCATGACATTCTTCTACCTCTATTCAACTGTCAAGATTGCCTCTTGGAGAGCCAATATGCGACGCCAAATGGTGAACGCTTCTAGGCAGGAAGACGCTGTTAAGTAAGTTTTACTTCCTCGTCTCTGTTTGTCCCATTAGGCTTAGGCTTTGCTAATATATACAGGAATGATTCTCTTGTATCCTACGAAACCGTCAAATACTTCAACGCAGAGGAATACGAGTTCAACCGCTATGGAGGGGCCGTCTCAGACTTCCTCAAGGCAGAATGGCATTCTCTCTTCGCACAGAACCTGATGAATATTTTTCAAAATGTCATCTTTATGCTTGGCCTTCTAATCACCTGTTTTATTTGTGCCTACCAAGTTGCTTGCGGTCAACGTGCAGTCGGCCAGTTTGTGACTCTCCTTACATACATGGCCCAACTTCAAGCCCCATTGAACATCTTTGGTACCTTCTACCGATACATTCAATCTGCATTGATCAATGCAGAGCGTTTACTCGAGCTGTTCCGCGTCCAGCCATCAGTGGTGGATGCACCGTCTGCAACCCCACTAGCAGTCTGCCACGGTCGAATCACATTTAACAATATTCAGTTCTCGTATGACACACGACGGCCTGCTCTCAATGGATTGACCTTCCACTGCAAGCCAGGTACTACTACTGCTCTGGTAGGAGAATCAGGTGGCGGAAAATCCACAATCTTCCGCTTGCTATACAGGTTCTACAATCCGAACGGTGGAAGCCTTCTCATTGATGGACACGATACCCAAACCTTGACAATTGACTCTGTGCGAAGACATATCGGCATTGTCCCACAGGACACAGTTCTATTCAACGAATCACTCATGTACAACCTCAAATACGCCAACCAAGACGCTACTGACGAGGAAATCTATGACGCCTGCCGTGCAGCCAGTGTACACGACAAGATCATGGCCTTCCCCGATGGATATGAAACCAAGGTGGGAGACCGTGGATTGCGACTAAGTGGTGGTGAGAAACAGCGCGTTGCCATTGCCCGAACCATTATCAAGAAGCCTCAGATCATTCTGCTTGACGAGGCAACGGCCGCATTGGATTCCGAGACGGAGCAGAATATCCAAGAAGCACTATCAGTCTTATCGCGTGGGCGCACTGTGCTAGTGATTGCCCATCGGCTGAGCACCATTACCACTGCTGATAACATTGTTGTATTGCACGAAGGTCGTGTCGCAGAGAGTGGGACCCATGAGCAGCTTCTAACTTCTCATGGTCGATATACAACTATGTGGCGGAAGCAGATTCGTGCGCAGACCGAATCTGTGGGACTGAAGGCCTTATCGGGCAAGATATAGATTTGTATCTTTGGAAATCATTCAGGGGGAATTATACACACAGGGTTTGGTTGGTTTGTCTGAAGAAACTAACCTCTACAAGGCTATTTTTTTTTGTTTGAGGGAAAAGGTCAAGAAGGCTTGACCAAATGGACGGATCTCAGTCAATGTTTAATCCTAATACTTAATATATTTATCTCTTTGCTTTGGGTGAATTGGAATCATTCGAATGTGAAACTCGCCCAGTGTATTTAAAGCCGAACAGGCCCGAGTAAGAATTTAGATCCACGAAAGTACTGGGAATCTACGGAGTGCCTTCGGAGCTGAATTGTGCATGCAATGTGACCAATGAACTCACAGCTCCCAAAATGGCTCGGTGATGTAGGCATTAGTCTAGGGCCTATATACAGGGGTGTACTATGTTTGGGCACATGAAGAATATCATTTTGGTGTTGCCAATTGCCTTTTTTTTTGGAATTTTAGTGGTTCACATATCATATTGTGACGAGTTCTGCATGTATATATAATCCCTTCACATCAATGCAGGATGAGCTCTATGCACTATGTATTATTCATCCTATGAGGTTTAAGGTCTTACAGGGTGTCAGACCATTACCACCTGTATTACGGAGTACAAGATCAAGACAATGTCTAATACATAGTACGTCTATTTCCTGTGACTCGATCTCGATCTGTGTGATGTCAAGTTCTTTACTAGTGTAACTAGGCTGACAAGTCGGTTCATACGCTATACTATTTTGTAATTTACTTTCATACCAGAGGTTTCCTCGGAAATTATTCTACTTTGTTCAACCACGAAGCGTTCGACCCTCATTGACTTTTTTCCTTTGTGCACACATTCCTTTCTGGACGTGGAGCGCATTCTGTGGCTTGATATCCTCCGGGTATCACCTCAGCTTTTGTAGTGATACACCATTTAAAGAGCCTAAGGGCCTCGTTGGCTTTTTGACCAGGTTCTCCTGGGATCAACCGCCCGAGAACTGTCGTCTGATCCAACTCCCGCTCTTCCGGCTTCTCTCCAATGGGGTAAGTAATTCGGGGTTCTTTGTCAATTATGCTCTGCTGCAACTCGCCGAATCTTTCGAATCTATCTGCCCTTTATCACCATACTATTTCTCAACCAACTTGTGTACTTTTGCAATGTGCTTCAGTGGGAAGTTGCGGGTTATTGGTTAGGCGGGCTAGAGCCTTTTGGCAGCGCCATGGGCTCATATCCAATATGTGCCTTCGAGAATAGTGCATCTGCTGGATATCACCAACCATCAAGTCGATATAAATTTCGATCACAATGGACCGAATACGCGGGCTATCAACTATCAATTACCAACTGTGCACAAATGGCAATTGAGTTTCGTGGTTCATATTTGTTGATTTTGACGTTTTCATACTTATCTTCGTCTCTCAAGATTCAAAAGCCGGTTTTCAAAGCTTGGAGCAAATTCACAGAAAACACATATCTCCAACACATTGGAACATCAGTCTCTCACGGCCACTGTAATACTTGGGCAAAATCTACTTCCCACTCTATCTAGTCCACCCGACAGTCTATCTTGCTCCCAAATGGCCAGTTCGAGACTTTGCATGGTGGGCAGTTAAAAGAACGCCTTATCCTGGTATCATTGAGGCGAGCAAACATGCTTTACCGTTTTCTATAATTTGGATGGGAACCATGCTGGTGTTAGGTGTTGTTATGAACTTTGGAATCGTTTCGATGATATGATGTGCTTAGGGTTTGTAAGAAGATTCGAAAAATGGGTTTCGCGTTAGCGGATGCAGTTTTGAGAATGGACCCCGGAAGGATGAATCGATCAGTAACAACCATAGAAGGTACAGTTATTCATCATCTCAGCTCTAGTGTAGTCTCGACCATTCAACCACCTCTCATCGCGGCCATACACTTCGGGATGGCCCTCTCAGTAGACCTCTGCTGCTAACAGTCTTACTACTAAGTAGTGCAAAAATGTATTAGGCAAAATAACTTTTATGACTTCATTCCTATCTATGACTGAATATTTTAATGACACCAGCAGAAAAGTACATATCACAAACGCCGTTATGCAAGAACCCCAAAAGAATCAGATCATCCCGAGTTTCATGAGATGGGTATACATCATAAATCCTTCGATTACTCCTTCTGAGCGGCATCGGCCTTGGCAGCATCGGCCTGGGCCTGGGCCTCCTCATAACCCTCGGTTTTCATGTCTGTCAGACCAAGATCATCTTCCTCCTCGGCAGAGCGGGTGTAGTCCTCAGTAGTGATCTGGTGGTCGATAGCTGGGCTGCAAAGATCTTGCACGTAAGAAGAGGCCATCGGGTCTTGCAATGTGATAGTGAACTTAAGCTCGCCGCTGATAGCCTGGTCGAGACGACTGAAGAATCTTTGCCACTTATCCTTATCAGAAGAGACCATGCTGTCACCTCCGGAGTGTGTGGAATCGTCAACATCGAAAATGGCACTCTTCAACTGATCCCTGATCTCAACTATGAAAAGGGTTAGCTGGGTCAATCTAATCAAATAATAGAGGAACGAACCTAGCAATCCCTCGACTGTGGTGAAACGTCCACCGAGGGTTCCTGGCTGAACATCCAGGTCAAGTTCGGGGCTGTAAAGTCCTGCTGTGTCACTCTTGAGAATATCACGCGAGAGATCAACCTCGTTATCCACCTGGAGAGTGATACGCTTGCCCTTCTCGGGTACCTCGCCACCGGTCTTAATTGCGGAAGATTTGTAGCCGCAGTGTCCACAGTTCGTGCCAAACAGCAGAACTTCCTTAAAGTAAGGAATGTTAACCTTCTTAATGTTCACCTCGGCTTCCTTATTACAGCCAGGACACTCTGCAGGAATGGTGTAGACCTGGCCATCAACGATATCGAGATCCTCCGGGTCACCAGCCTCAATCTGAGCAGTGTCCTCTTGGTTGACAGCGTTGGTGTCAGCAGAAATTCCCAACTCCTCATTCTGTTCGTGGGTACGCGGGTATTCATGGCGTTTGTACTTGTTGCCGCGATCGGTGCTGTTAGGCGCAATCCACGAATTTCCAGTGAGGTCATCGAGGGAGATGGTGAAGGGGAAAGCATCCTCACGAGACATGATCTTCTCAAGACTGTCGATGATAGGCACAAGGGCGGCGTGAAGTTCAGGAGCTTGGTCTTTACGGAGATCTTGCTCTCCTGACAAACTTTCATGAATGAGTTGAACCACTATACATAATGAGGTTAGCATCGTGGAATCGAGCTTTATTGCATTTGGTGTCACATACTGCCTTCGACATTGGTCAGTTGGCCGGTTCCCTTGGGGACCTCAATCTCGTTGCCGAGCTTAGTGGTGAGTTTGAACCCTGAAACATCACTTCGGATGACTTGGCGCTAAAATATCCAATTAGCTCGAGCGGGAGAGCATACATTATAGCTGGATATAGATACCTGAAGATCCTCCTCATTCTCGACCCTTAAAGTGTAAACAGTTCCACGCTCCTGGATCTGGCCGGCCGACTTGATCGAGTTGTTCTTGAGGTGGCAATGTTCACATTCGAAACTCTCCAGGATGATGTCTCTGAAGTAAGGGACTCGGAGCAAAAGCAGGCGCGTGACTCTGAAGTGGTTGAAAATTAGCAATGTGCAAACCATAAGAATTGAATGGTAGAAACGAACCCTTGCTCGTGGCAGTTCATGCAAAGTGAGTCGATTGACATCGCGCCAGTGTCCTCATCACGCTCCACAAGATCGCCGGGCTTTTGAAATTGCGACTCGAACTGCGCCTCGAGGGCATCATTGTCGGCTTTGCTGACCATTGTATAGGATAAGGTTTGTGGAAATTAATGAGAAATGAGAAAGAAGGTGGACTCTGATATCCCAAAGCAAATATTTGTTTACAGAGGAATATTCGGGGGAAGTTGTAGTTGTAGTAAAGGCACTGAATAAGAAATTCTTATCGCAAAAAAATTATCGGATCCACGGGAACATTCCTTCCTGTTCTGCGCGGGGCAGGTGCATTGAGGGGCTGACAAAGAGGGGGATGAGGTAATGCAATTTCTGCCAGTATGTGTGTCACCGCTTACCCATACTCGGAGGGCGGTGAGGTGGATAACTTTATCTGGTGTTGAGATCTACATGGGATGCTTGCAGATCTTCATGTAGAACATACATTATGCACTGTGCATGAATCTAGCTAGCTCACAATGCATATTGACGGTTTTCAATTTCCTTCGTTGAATCATCGGGTACTCCGCTTGACATTAGAATCTGAATGTAGGTAGTTAGCATCATCTTGGAATAAAAGGGGTGTTTGGGGGTACTTATAAAAAAAAAGTGGCCGTTTCCACCACCAAAGTAGTAGAAACGGCGGTCCACCGGCTATCGCCTGGCCAAACATTCTGCTCCCGTGTAAAGAACCATCATTGACACAACGTCCAAGTCCCAATGATAATACAATAGTTCCCTAGCGGTACAGAGATCGCCCGATTTCCCATTCGTCGCTTTTCAGTTCACTCTAATCAGACAATACGGACGAGCCTCAGCCGGAAACGCATAGCAGCTGGTGAGTATCATAGACAAGCCAAAGCTTTGATCCTCACTCGAGAGAGGTCCCACAACACCCACTGCACGACGCATACACGTTTGAACCGAGCAAGGACATCGGCACCATGCCAACTGGAGATGGGCTGGTGAGTTAAAGCGTTCGCAGGATAGAAACCGTACGTTTCTCCGACCAGAACAATTGCGATCAATCGAGAGATAAGAGGGCAAGCATCAAATACAGGCGCAAACAGGAGTTGAGGAATGCTGGGAGCAGACGACAACCGATGAACATATCCCTCAGACCCACGAAACCCCACACAACTCCACACAACCTTCACAAAGACAAGCCTAACTTGGCCGAGACACAGTAAGCTCAACCGAATGTGCTCAGTCGCTATCCATCTCCGCAATTCCAGTCAACTCGCCATTGTTTCGCCGATACCGTCGCATGAGTATGAAGCCGAGCCTCCCGTGTGTGGTACAGTACCCTTTGGGACAGGTTTTTGTTTCCTCTCCCGATTGACCCGAGGATCTTTCAGGAGGGCGTGTTGTGAAGCGGACAAAGAACATCCAGAAAAATCGCTTCCTTCTTCCCGAGGGAAGGAACAATGATGGAAGTCATTGTTGAAGTCGGCGCCCATCGATCTATTCACAAACTACTTTGCGAAGAGATGGTTAACACGGTCGGTCGGGATCTTCTGACGAAGTCGAATCGGTGGCGGGTGCCGTGATACGAGGCGCCTAGCCGCCTGTGGGGCGTAGGAATAACAGAACCCAAGAAGGTGGAACGCAGGGGCAAGATCCCCAGGGATCCTGGAATAGGAAACATGTGCAGGAGCAGGCAGTTGATGCTAGCAGAATTGACGAGAGAATACAGGCAAATAAGTTCCAAAAACACCGAATAGCTTAGGGGAAACTCGTTGCCATCCGGAACGCGACAACAATTCGCAAGCTTCTATGTGCTCCTGAGACCAACATCGAAGAATCATAGGGCGGCGTAACCAAACAACCTCGCGACAACTTCAACTGTGAAAATGCCTGGGCAATTTTCAGGGAGAGGAATGTTGATTCCGGCGAGTGGATTGGTTGGATATGCTGACACTATGACTGTGTGTAAGGATACTGCTGTGTTCTAGGCTCCAAATCTCCGAGCCAAGCAATTTGATGCCCTAGGGTATTCGGAACTTAAATGTCGCATTCAATCGCCATCTGGTCGCGCTGTCGTGGTTGGTCCTAAAGGTGACATCTGATATGGAAGTACCCGACATGCTTCACCCGCATTCTCTTCTCGCTGAACTGTTACCCGAGGCATAGGGCGACCATCCGTTTTGTGACCGGCATGCAGCGTCCAGCATTGGTAAACCGACGCGGTCTCCTTTTGGATAACGCATAGTAAACCGTCTTTTGTGCCCGAAGGCTCTGGCCAAGTCGAATATCTTTCGCCTAATCGGACCATCACAGTCTGTTTCAGCTAATCGTATTATCCGGCATGCACAATCCGTGAAACTGTGTCCGTGAGGACATTGAACCGAGGAGGGCTTAGGGTTTGACTCCAATGTCTTCTGCGCCGAAACGGTACGAGTCACCGAGGGTGAGACATACGTGACGGTTCACCATTAAAAGTAGCAGAGGAAAATGGAGATCTGAGAGGGTTGATCTGTACATGTGTACCTCGGAAGGCAAGAGACTCGAGTGGCTCCACACTCAGGAAAGGGTCACGGTGGAACACCGGCAAGTCTGAACAGAAATTTGGTCCAATGAATATCGTGAAAACAAGCAAGATTCGTGGTAGCTGAGAAGCTGGTCACGGCGGTTTAAGTGTCTCTTCAAAGGGTGTGAAATGAGTAGTGGATAGGAGTTGGTAACAACAACATCTTGGGAGGTTGACGCGACAACACCAATGCGGGCAAGCGCGACGGGCCACGAGACTGACGCGACTACCACGTGATTAACACGTGACACCCTGGCTAAGTACTTGCTTGTTATGACATAATCAACGACAAACGCCAAGGCCGCAATTGTTCGTGATTATTCATTCAATTTTCGAACTGGACGATGTCGATGAGGCCAATACTCTTATTGGCGTGAATTTGGCATGATAGGATCTTACAAGTATTTATGATGGGAGGACCACAGCAAATTCGCGAAGCGTTTGACATTGCTAAAAACTTTCTGACCCCAGTCCTCGATCGAGGTACGCACGCTCCAGATATCAAGTTACATTTAAGTCTCTGGTGCTGACTATCTTGAAGAGGAAATACAAAAGACTCAAGCTAAATCTTTGCTGCAGATCCTCAGTCGGACTTCGGGGGAGGATGATAGTGCTGGTGATGATGCCGCAAGGCCAACAGTGATCAATAAGGCTTTGGACATCTTGACCAATATCCATAGATCTTTTGTTTCACCTGATGACCAATACGGGTCTCTTCAGTCATGTGGGGAGGTTGAAGAGTCACCATCAGAAGATGCCAAGCGCCGTCGGATGCTACATGCATTGTTGGACTTGATTTCCCTAGAAGGAATATATCCTTCGCTATCATCTGGTGTTGGGATCCCACTGCAGCAGCGGGTGATCTCGGTATTACCAGCCGGCGTCATTGCAAAGCAGACTCAAACAGTTGCTAGCAGTGTACCGCATGATGGGCCTCTTTTGCGCCGCATAATTGACGTTCTGGTTGATGTTCTCTTTGACCCAAAACCAAGCCTCCAGCCGATCATTCGTGGTCGTATACTAAGTGACATAATCAGTGGCACGTCTGATCTAGCTTTCAATCCAAATACTGTGGCATCATCCCACAGGGAAATGTATCAGAAAACGCTGGCCAAGATCATTGATGAGTATGTTTTATTTGCTTTTGCTATCTGGAGTAATATTAACAGTCTACAGTACCCCAACAACCGTCTTGTTGCCCACATTGTCTGCGTTCCTCCAGTCGGATACTGCGCAATGGTTCAAGTCAACAATTTCCAGCCAGATCTCGCAAGTTCCGCTACGACCCGGCGGAGTAGTGCAAACCATCATGTTCATTGCATCACAGTTCTCCCCATCGCTAGGCCAGGAAGCACAGGACCAATCAAATGGCCCTCGTTTAACTGTGCAGGCCATCATGCAAATTTCACGACTCCTTTCCTCTGTGCCATCGGATTTTGATACAACCGTCTATTTTGAGACAATTGCACCCCAGCTGCTAGCATTAATAGATGGTGATGATCCGGATCTGCGAAAAACTGCGTCGTATGTCGTCGGTAATGGAATTTTGGGGAAACGTGCTTACGGTGCTCCTGGCACTGTTGGGCACTCCATCTTTGTGGAGCCGATATTCAATGCGCTCGCCGCGAACCTCGATGCTAAATCGAGGCGATGGATCAGTCGCTTCACCGATATCGAAGGCTCTATGCCGGACCCCCCGGAAGCGGATTATACGTCCAATGTCCTAGTGGATGGTGTCACAGTGGACCTGGCTCTAAACAGACTGAGATGTCTGACATTGCAGCATCCAAACCCGGGTCTCGTGAAACGAATCGTGTATCCGATTCTTCTTCCGTTGTGGGGCTTGGTCTGTTTCTCTCAGGAGGACGGCCTGACCTCATTCCATGAAAGAATCTTGCCCCTGCTCCAGACGTATTTTGGAATCTCCGTTGGCGCCCAACCCCTCAAAAAGCTGGTTGATAATCTTCTTTGGGATGGGGGTGCGACATGGACGTACAATAAAGATTCCAACGCTGGAATCGCGTTGCAAAAACGGAGTGAGAAAGCAAACGAGCATTCAAACTTGGTGCGACTGATCGATTCCCTCCAAGCACGAGCGGAGCTTTTCGTTAGTCTCATTGGCTCGGATCCTAGCAGTGAGGAACGGACCGGTGATATCTTCCTCTATGTCAGTCAAAACTGGCTAGTGCAGCCGCAGGGCTCTGCAGTCCCACGCAACACATTGAGCGGAGGTCCCGTTGGTGAAAGTGACAACATTATTCAGAAGCTTGTCAGTGCCAAGGTTGCAGAGAAGCTGCTTGAGAATTTCAAAGAAGCACTGACTCGACGCCCGCTCCGAGTTTTAGAGCTTATCAAGCAAGTTGTTGATGGAGAGCTGCATAGATTTAGCGCACAAGAAAGGGCGATGCAAGACAAAGTAAATAGCAAGGTATCCCTGTCATCTTTAGCTAATATAGTGGAAACGGAGGACAAAGACAAGGAGGAATCCGGTAATGACTCCTTTGAGTCCGTCTCAACAGCCTTCAGTTTGATGTCCACGCTTCTTGCATCCGCTGATTTTTCTCCTACTGCTGAAATTCAGCCCCTCCTTGGATCTCTCAAAGAGGATCTCGATCAACTCATTCCCTTTCTCCCTTCTATCCTCTCCAAATCAGCAACTACCTCGTCTATGTTGCTAGAGATTCACCTTGCCGGTGCAGACGAAACCGCAATCAAGGCAGTACCAGCTCATGTTCAGGACCTTGAAACGCATCGTCAAGCACTTGCGAACCTCAACTCAGATCTACCACCTGTGCAGGCCGAAGGCCTATCGCTGATTTCGAAGCTGATCATGAACTCGTCACCCGTTCTAGATGTAGGGTCAACCCTCGCACTCTTGCTCTCAGTTATCACAGACACATCTAAGACCGCTGCCAACGAGGAATACGCATATCTCGGTGCAATCAAGATAGTTGGCATACTTGCCTCACGTCACCCACGTACCGTGATCAAAACGTTGGTTGAGGAATACGCAGACAGACGCGAACAAAGAGCATTGGACGAAAGGCTCAGGATTGGCGAGTCTCTACTGCGAACAGTCCAGGAATTGGGAGATGCACTGGCCGGTGAGACGGCCAAAATTCTTGGTGAAGCTATGGTTGCTGTCGCCGGACGCCGTGGCAACAAGCAACATGCACAGAAAATCCGCAAGAAGCAACTTGCCAAGGAGAAGCGGGAACAGGAACGCGCGCAACGAAAGGAAAAAGAATCGGCCATGCCCGAAGGATGGTCCATTTCATCTGGAGTAGCCAAAGCTGCTGCAGAACTCGACCTCACAGAACTTCATTCGGACGACGAATCCCCAGAGCAATCAGAATACGCCACAAACGTCGTTGCTGCATGGGCTGCCGGTGCGTCCGCAGATGATGCCCCTGATGACCTGCGCGTTCGGGCATCGGCCATCTCCATTCTTGGCTCGGCCATCAATGTCAACATCCTCGGTCTTGGTCCCGTCATTCTTTCTTCCGCTGTCGAGCTCGGGCTCGCTACCCTAACTCTCGAGAGGGAACCTGAGAGTGCCATCCTCCGCCGGGCGAGTATTGTTCTTATTCTAGACATTCTGAAAGCTCTCGAGGCAGCGCGGGAGACACGCGGTAATAAGGATATCGGATTCGGTTTTTCACTTTTGGATGACTCGACTTCCAATTTTGCAACTCCATATGGTTCCAGTATGCAAGGACAGTCAACCATTGGAAACATCCCTGCTATGCTACGCACTCTCCGCTTCGTCGAGGGTTCTGAGGAGGATGGGCTCGCTCGTGGAAATCTGCGTGCTTTGATTGAAAGCTTGGAGGCTTGGTCGGAGAAGTCTTTAATGTGGGGCATTGGCGCCCAGGATGATCAAGATGCCTTCAGTCCACAATTTGGCCTGGGTGACAGGATCGCCGGTCTGCAGGTTGATCCCATGGCAGGGGAAACCACTGGGCGTCCGCGCATCGAGGAGATTGAATGAAACCAAATGCTTGGATACAATAAGAACAGTACACACCCTTTTCCACAAATCAATATTCAAAATCTGTCAAACATCAACCTTCGAAATAAGAGTAGGCAAAGATAGGTCATGATTGGTTTGATCTGATAATAATCCTAGCTCACCTTAGATATCCAACTACGGACCACGAAATATCACCAACGAATCAGCTTTCACATTCACTTGGTTCCTCAGCATCATTGGTCTAGTGGTAGAATTCGTCGTTGCCATCGACGAGGCCCGTGTTCGATTCACGGATGATGCACTTCCTTTTTTTGTTTCTGTTTTCCCAGTCTCCATTATATTTTTCCCCGCTAATCTCGTGTGGGCAGAAATACTAGTTTGGGAAATAGATGCTATCAATGAGCTAATTAGTACAAGTTATATGTAACATGGTGCTAACCTATACCTTACAATACTAGAACGAACCAGTAGAAGCTAAAGTGGCTTGACTCATGGGCTTTGATGTCGCTACTATAATAAGATTGTTGGTTGATGTGATCTGGAACTGGAATCTCATTTATTCGTTGGGGACTAGTAATTGAAATAGAAGACAGACTTCAGGCAAAACAATAAAAAAAGAAACACCGCCCTGGATACATGGTATGTGCAGGTAGAACACGGGCGATGTAGAAGCAGAGCAAGCTATTCTATCGAGTCACTAGTATGCAGAAACTGAAGTCGAAAACAGAGGACCTCCCGACTAAAGTAAACTGGTCCCTACTCCCCACTGTGCGGATTCATCACTTCATGTAGATACTTGTAGACAGCAAAACAAAAGAAATTAGTAAAAGATATTCCGTAAAAAGATTCGCACCTCTGATTCAAACCACCAAAGAAACGCACAAGTGCCCCCTATGTAGGCGGGCGAGCCAAGCACTGGTTAAATTACCAGGCGCCAGCGTTCTGGGTTGACGGGCCTGAGTTGCCACGCCCGCCACGACCACTGTAACCGCCGCGCCCAGGACCACGTCCGCCACGACCACCACGACTGCGTCCACCACGGCCGCGTCCACCACGTCCACCGCGGTTGCCCTGGAAGTGCTGACGAGGTTCATCGGGGCGTGGACCAGCTTCCATGCGAGCCTGCCGTTCTTCCTCGCTCATGTCAAACTTGTTCTCGATCCCGATCAGGTTGCAGAATGCAGAGGTCTGCGGGTTGGTGTACTCTTTCGGCTGCTCCCGTGTGTTGATCGAAACCTGAGGGTCATAGACAGGGGCAGTCGGGACAAAGTCAGTTGGAATGTTCAACAATCCAGCGTTAACAACGTTCTCGTGAACCCATTCTTCCTCCTCAGAAATGCGCTGTTGGTAGAATTCATACCCCTTATGAGCAGGGACACTGCCTTTGGGGTTTCCACCAAACTCGAGCTCGTCAGCAAAGGCACGAGTGATCGCCAGCCACTCCTTGTCGTACATGAGTCGCAGAGGAGACTCCATCGCGGAACCATCATGTTCAGAGACTGGCTCAATCTCGAGTAGTTCAACAAAGTCATCATGATTATGTGGTTTGTCCAAGGTCAGGAACTGAGTCACAAGGTTCTTGATCATCTCCGGGGGCGGAAGAAGCTCGGAACTTGGGTTATTCACGGCAGCCTTGGGTACACACGACTTCTCAAGGCTGGTTGGGAGCTCGAATTCCACTTCGCGAACTCGATCATCCACACCATCGCTCCACCAGGGGTCAGGAGAGCAATCATCAGCCCAATTAAGAGAAATGTCGGCTTTGGGAAGAGCCTTCTCAGCCGGGGGAGACTTCACGCTTGCGGCGCTGCTGGGGCTCGTAGAAATACTGATTTTGTCAATGTTATCCGCGACATCATTACTTGTCTTGACGTCCTGGGTCGTCTTGACATGCTTGGTAGTCTGGATATCTTCGGTTGACCCAGCAAACAATATATCCTGCTTGAAAACCGCCTCCTCAGAAGAGGCATTCATAGGGTTGATTCCCTGGCTGACTTTGTCGACGCTTTCGATGTTCTCGCCATCGATGGGGACGGATTCGACTTTTTCTCCATCCGCGCCACGTACGAATGTCTGAATGGGACCACCTCCAATCTTGGCAGTTTCGGTGAAAGTAATGTTGCGTGGAGCTTTCGGCTGTCTCGCCCTGACCATACGCATGAACTCATCTTGGTCACGCTTCTCTTTCTCAGCCCGTCGGGCTTTATCTCCGAATTCATTCCAAGCCTTAATGCGAGATTGCTCATCTCCAGTAGCAGTACCAAGCAAGTGGTGGCCAGCAAGGGTGTTGGTGTTGACATCACTGCGTGGAATCGGAGCCTCATTGTTTGTATCCGAGGCAGGATCATCAGGATTGGGGGGAGTCAATGAAGTGGAATCCGCACGAGGTGGGTCATGGGGCACATTGGCAGTGTAGCGTACGTGCAAATGGGCCGAAAGCCAATAGGCAGGGCGTAGATGATTCAGAGCTTGACGTGCAGCGACACTTCCGAGCTTTCCAGCATCGGAGTCAGCTTTGAAGCCTGACTTCTTGCGAAACAGCGTTCCAAAGTCTCCAAGCTTCTCAACGCCCTTTGGCCAATCGTGGGACAGGCCGATGTCGATCTGGGTGCGCACTTGCAGCAACTTGCGGACATCCACCTCCCGGATGTGGTAGATCGAAGAAACATCATCCCTACTATAGGGTAGTCGTTCATAGTGGGGCTTCCGGTAGTCGTAACCTTTCCAGATGCCCGACATTCCCGAGATTCGGAGAGGTCCAAAGCGGACGATGTTGGCTGCTCCCATGAAGTAGATGTTGGGGGCCACCCAACCGCCGTAATAGAGCTCGGAAAGGTAATTGCTTGCCTCATGATTACCTCCGATGAACAGTGTCAAGTAAGGAGCAGTACGGGCACCACTGTAGTACTCGTGAAAATCACCGATTTGCTTGAACTTGTCGGGAACCGAAAGACAAGTCGCATCATTGGCGTTACGCAAAGCCTAGTTTGGTCAGTCAATATTGAGCTCGTGTGGAATGAGGCATGACAGAGAACCCACCTGGAAATCTCCACCAATGATGACAAGATCAACAGAGTCCCAGCCTTTCTCAGTGGCTTTGCGATCAACAGTCCCATAGATGTCATTGAGACTGCCATGACCCTATATAAAACGATTAGCAACAAGCTGTGAAGTGGATATGTTATATGAAGTGGGGGTTCTCTCCATGCACGCAATTTCACTTACGCAGCCTTCCACGGCAATGCGTACTGGTGCCATCGTGGACGAATCCAACTGAGCTGTCGGATTGTGATAGCACAGAAAAAGAAGACAAACCTCAAAATGAGATTGTCAGAAAGGAAAATTCGCAACTAAATTCCTGCGACAAAGTCGATGAGGGCTGCAGGGAAGAAAATCAAAGGTGAACAGTAAGAGAGAAGTGTTGGGTGGAAGATGGAAAGGGTAGAGAGCAGAGAGATGTAGATGGGAAGAAGCCGCTGGGTGGAGCTGGGTTTTAAGCTCCCGCGCGGCAAATCTCTGAATCGGAAAATAGCAAACGGGCTGGCTTATTGTCTTCCGTTTGTCCTCTTTGTTCTCCGTTTATCTCCATTCTCTTTGTCTTTCAGTTGACTTTTATTTGGATTTTTGAATTAAATCCATTTTACCATAATAGGAAAGACCGCACAATGTCTCACATTGATCCTTCCTTTCTCATTCAGGCTGTCTCGGCTGTCCCCCTCGGTTCATCGACATCGGCTCATCTGCTAGCGGTGCACACCCGCCTTCTCCACGAGGAGTCTAAGTCATTGAATGTTCTACAGAAGAAAGATCACTGTGGAGGGTGTGGTAGCATTAGAAATGCCCAATGGAGTAAAGTTACTAAGATCAAGCCGAAAAAAAGCAAGCCTTTAAGCTCTGGATCGGCATCCGCGGGTGCCACCGTGTACAAGTGTTTGCGCTGCCACCAGCGGACAGTGCTACCTCAAAGGAATTCAAGGAAGCCTGTCTCGAAACCTTCGTCTAGAGCATCTACGGTTACATCTACTCGAGGGTCAACTCCTGTAGGGGTTGACGTGAAAGATTCGACGCAGGCCTCAACGGATCCCAAGGCAGGTGACAACCAGAGCAGCAAGAAGAGAGCCAAAGCAAGGAAACAAGGTGGTCTTCAAGCTCTTCTAGCCTCTAAACAACGTGCCCAACCGTCACTCGATCTGCTCGATTTTTTGCAGTAGAGGTCGCGCACGTGAGTTTATTGCCATATCGGGACTAGCGCGGGGCAGCTAGCTTGCCTGCGACTCCAGGCTCCGTGACGATGACCCCCCAACACCAACATCTCCAGCGCGTGTGCCCGCAGAGTCAACCCAATTCCACTTTACGTATCTCACCAAACTACATCTATTGTGATTCCATCCTCGCCACAATGTCGTCTTACTCGGACGACGACGAACATGATCCCCAGGCGGACGAGCTCCGCGAGACCGCCTTGGTCACGCTTGAGGCACTGATCAGCTCCTGCAACAAACAGATGCAACCTTACTTAACGAACACCACTCGATCAGCTCTTCGATTTTTAAAATATGATCCAAACGTTGCCGAAGTGGAGGACGACGAGGAGATGGGAGGCACACAAGACGATGGGAGTGACGATGCCACGGAGGAGCCCGACCTGGAAGACGACGAATTCGAGGACTTTGAGGAAGAAGGAGGCTACAGTGACATTGACGACATGAGCTGGAAGGTACGCCGATGTGCTGCCAAGCTTCTCTACACCGTCATCTCTACCTACGGGCTTGGTCGCGCTTCGGACGCTTCCGCCTTGTTCCAGCAAATTGCACCAGCTCTGATCTCCCAAATTAGCAGGGAAAGAGAAGAGAGTGTGAAACTCGAGGTAGTGTCGACATTGACGGCGCTTGTTCGGAAAACAGGCGAGGGCTCCATGATCGTCACATCCAATGACTTTATGGAGGCCGTGGGTGGTTCGAAGAATTCTCGCAAGCGCAGACGCCAGGATAGTGATGCGTCAATGATCGACTTCGAGCCGAGTGCTGGAACTTCGTCAGCGATGGATTCTCCTGCTGTGCCGTCGTCCCCCAAATCGGGTTCTCAGGCTGATCTGGCCCGCTCCGTACCTTTGATTGTACAGAACCTTGTCAAAGTGTGGAAGCAGGCTTCGATTCCGCTCAAGCAAGCTGCCATCATTCTCCTCAAAAGTCTTTCCCTGGTTCGCTATGGTGGTCTTGCAGACCATCTTCAACAAATTGAAGACCTCATTGCGGATGCCCTCAAGACCTCATCTCTGTCAGGGAGTACAGCGGCTCATACTGGGGCTGCTGTCAGTGCAGGTACCCTCCAAATCGAAACCCTAGGTCTCATTGCCGTGATCGCCGAGACCCATCTGTCTGACGCGCTATTGCCATTCCTGATTGCCCTGGTTCCCGGAGTGGTCGGAGCCGTCAACGACCGCAACTACAAAGTCAGCAGTGAGGCGTTAGGCGCCGTGGAGCAAATCGTGAAAGCAATTACACCCCCACGCGTGTCTGCCAATCCTTCCGATGTCACTCTGCAGCTGCAGAAGCTTTATGATGTTGTCTACTCTCGAATCACCGACACAAGCGCCGATCTCGAAGTCCGTCAACGGGCGATCCATGTGTTCGGTGTGATTCTCGCACGTACGTCAGGAGAACGAGGTGTAGCGTTCCTTTCATCCGAGAAGAGATCTAATGGTCTGGCTGTTTTGGTCGACCGGGTGAAGAACGAGACAACTCGTCTGTCCGCTGTTCGTGCGGTTGATGATGTCGTCGTTCTAGCCAGCTGCAAACAGGATGTTTCCAGTGATTGGGTCAACAATGTGGCCCTTGAGCTGGGATCGAACTTGCGCAAATCCGATCGTGCCTTGAGAGGCGCATGTTTGGAAACTCTCCGCAGTCTTTCCATGAACTCCAACATAAGATCTCACCTCACCCCCGACACGATCGCAGCACTGGAGAATGCTGCTTTGCCTCTTCTCACTGCAGCTGATTTCCACACCCTCACGCCCACGTTGATCATTATTGCCAAACTTGTCCCTGGCAACGCAAAACTAATGGTCAACGACAGTTTAATCTCCTCTATCTGCTCAATCGTGACGAAGCCACTCGTCGGAACTGTTCTCAAAGCATTGTTGTTGCTGGTCAAAGTCATTGGCGACGAAGGTGCGGGTGCTAGCTTGATGCAGAATCTTCTCCGTGACGTTGGAATTACAGGGGACTCATCAGTGGTCGGAAGAGCCGTTGGCACCCTTCTGGTCCACGGTGGACCGAACCTCGGAGTCACAATGGAAGATTTCTCAACAGAACTTAAGACTGCACGTGATGATAGCCGAAAATGCCTTGCCCTTGCTATCCTAGGCGAAATTGGTTTGCGAATGGGCCCAGAGTGCTCGTTGACTCCGGGTCTCTTCATTCCCCATTTCGAATCTCAGTCAGATTATGTGCGCTTGGCTGCCGCCACTGCCCTCGGAAATGCTGCAGCAGGTAGCGTCAAGGCTTATCTCCCAATCATTCTGAATGGGTTGGAAAAATCAAATGCTTCAAGCTACCTGCTTCTTCATTCGGTACGAGAATTACTCCAGCATCCCGAGGTCGTACGTCCGGATCTTGCACCATCCGCCCACAAACTGTGGCACGCACTCCTTGTTGTGTCCGAAGAGGAAGACAACCGGGCTGTTGGGGCTGAATGTGTCGGCCGCTTGGCACTCCTTGACCCTGGTTCTTACATCCCCCACTTCGGAGTAAGTCGTGCTCATTCTTCTATGTTATCAATACTGACCTCATGCTTACAGGAGTACCTGGCCAACAATGACCCGGCTGTTCGTGGCGTGGTGATTTCGGCATTCCGCTACACCCTTGCTGATTCAAGTGATGCTTACAACGATGTACTGCGCCCGTTGATGGTGCCCCTTTTAACCAATATGCTTGGTGATAGCGATTTGGGCAACCACCGACTTGCATTGACCACCCTTAACTCTGCAATCCATAACAAGATGGATCTTCTGCTCCCTCACCTCGAAGAGCTGCTGCCGGCTGTTCTTGGTGACACCAAAATCAAGCCAGAGCTCATTCGTGAGGTACAGATGGGTCCATTCAAACACAAAGTGGATGATGGGCTCGACTTGCGAAAGGTCAGTATCTCTTATTATTCACCATAGCCCACCACTGACATCCTCGTTTACAGAGTGCCTACGAAACCCTTTACGCCTCGCTCGACACTTCCTTCTCCCGCACCCATATGGCCGACCTCTTTGACCGCATCGTCGCAGGTATCGATGACGAACAAGACATCCGTGCAATCAGCAATCTTATGACATCCAAGCTGATTAAGATTGCACCGGAGGATACTGAGCGGCGGCTGGATGATTTGTCAGAGCATTACACCACTGTGCTTTCCTTCAAGCCAAAGGAGAACGCCGTCAAACAAGAGTTGGAGAAGGCCCAGGAGGCATCGCTCGGCATTCTGAAGATTACTAGAGAACTGAGCAAAGCGTTCCCCGGTGCGGAGACATCGGGTGATCTTCACAAGTGGAAGACATACATGGAGTGGGTTCGGCGAGCCTTTTCCTCACAGTTGACGAGTTTGGAACTGGAATCCTGAATTTGATACAACCATGCGATAAAAAGCGCAATGGCGAGCCATTTCCCGCAATTGAACTAGCTTATGACATAAAACTCGAAGAAATACATGATTTTAATATCGCTACCTTTGCGATCTTAGCATTGTAGATAAAACATGGACATTTTCAAATGTCTTGATTTATTTCCCTTCCTGTACCGCCTCCGATCATGATAACCAACCAATAACTCACTTACTTGACAAGAGAATATTCAATGCCACTTCTTTCACGTCTCCTCGCCCTTGATCGGCGTCATCTCAGGAGTCATCTCAGGCGTAAGCTCTCCGGGGAAGGGCTTGCGCGCCCACACACGTCGTCTAAACCAGAATCAGCATGACATATCCACCAATACCACACCACGGGGTTATGCCGAACTCACGCTCTCTGATAAATATGATATCTTGGATTCTTAAGTTCCGAGCGAACCTTTGCCAAATAAACGGTAACCTCATCCTTGGACCAAGGATTCGGCGCACCGAAATGGGTAAGCAACCGCATACACCATCCCTCCATACCAGAAAGCCAATGCTGGAAATTCACCACACCCGCCTCTTTATATTTCTGATCTCGAGCCCACGGTCCAATCGGCCACTGATATGGCTTCTCCTGGATATCCACAAACCCAGCCTTTTCCATCATGCCGCGCATGGTATCAAGCGTATCCAGCGAGAGTCCAGCGCGCGCACCGCACGCGTCCATAGTCGGGCCCCATGTTCGTAGGATGCTATCTGCCGGCAGGCTGTCGTCGTCACATTGGATGGATGTGCTAGCTTCGAGTTGTTCGATCCAGCCTCCTGGTCGTAGATTTCTACGAGAGATCCGGTGTTAGTGCACATGGTTGCGGGATATGGATGGGGTTAGGACACGTGGGTGCTTTACTTAAAGGAGCTTTTGTAGACGTGATCCCACCCCGCGGAATCGAATGAGCCAGTCATAATTCGCATGTGGATTAGATCGAGCGGGCGTTTCCACGTCCATTCTTCTAGGATGTTGTCGACTTCGAGAATGCAGTTGGGTGGCATCCATGTAATGGGAGGTGGGAAGAGGTCGACTCCTCGGACAGTCGCTGTATGCTTTTAGTTTACCACCCTGTCGGTATATGGGGGAAATGGCACTCACCAGACGGGAACATGTCGGCAACATCACTGCATAAATGGTTATTGGTATAAGTCCTGTCTGATACGGGACAAGGAAGGGGTTCTCTTCTGACGTACATAGCCCAGTTACCCTTACCCGTTCCAATATCAAGCACATGTGTAGGGTTCTTCCCGACAGGCGATCTAAAGAGCGGGTTCTCTCGTTCCGAATCTAAAACAAGAGCGAGCAGATGGCTGAGAGTGTTAAGGGTAAAAATGATATATAGAACGGTTGGTCATACGTACCCAGCTTCATAGGACTCGAATGCCTGGTCATCGGCCGGAACCCTGGTGAGAATTGAGCATCAGTTGGCAGCTTCTTTAATGCCGGATGCTATGACATGCATACAGATATTCTTTGTCGCTCAGAGTTTGATACCTGCACATAATAGGTGCATGTAAGCAATGGGCCGAGTTCCCGGGTGCGCCAAATGTACGATGAAACCATACCGTCTGCCATTTTCCATCAAGCCATTATAGATCGAGGTGCCAATAGATGTAGTCTCCCTGGGTAGTACAAGTCGCATTAGAAATTAATGACGTGAAAAAACGGGGTATTTGGAGTATTTACGACTGCCAATCGTCGGCATAACTGGCTGACAAGTAGACATCCGTATCCTATAGCCTGTTAGAATATGAGAAGAATAACCTATGGATGGACATACCACTTCAATATCTTTCGATTTCGGCATGGTTCGATATCTGACCCCTCGTTACAAGGAAGGAGGGGGTGAACGGAGGAGGTTAAGAGGTCGTTGAAATGCCAAATGGTACTAATGTCCAACGGTTTTCAGCCGTTGGCCCCGCAATCGTGCAGCAGTTTCAATAGATGGGATTGGGTGGGACATAAGCGGCATGTCATAATCCACGGATGAAGCCTAAATGGGGCTGGTGCAGTGTTAGCCACGTTATGCGGAGGTTCCCGTTGACGATCATTGGGTTGACCTTGACGGGGGTGGGCCAAGGCTGTATGTGTGCCGAGATGCTCTAGCTTTGTTCTCTCCGTCCTCCGTCGCTGTGATAACTGTGATAAGGAGACTACGAAAGTACAACATACAGAATTCAATGCAAGTTTCCCTGTCGTACCACGCCTTACCAAAGGTGAATAGAAAATGAGTTTATTGTTCGATAATAGTACACACCTTATATCATATATCTATATCCTAAATTAACACCGTAGAGCGACCGTGGGTTTCTGTTTCAAGAGTATAAGAATCATGGATACAGGGACGTGAGCATCATGGAGATTTGGCAGTTAGACCTCGCGGGACAGGTATGTGCCGGTCATGCAATGCATATGGGCCGTGTTTATCAGGCCATCAACTACCAAACTCGGTTACTAGCGACTAGGGTCCGCATTAAACTAGCGCTTTCAAGATCAGAAACTGTCATAATGTAAAAGGGTAGGAATAATGTATACTATAAGGATATAGCGCAAGATCGCGACCAAAACCATAGAAATATGTGTTTCTGTGGGAAGGTAAATCAAGGGGGTTTCGATCATGGTCAACAGAGATTGCGTCTTGCATTCATTCTATGGCCTACATCCCTGCTCCGTAGGTAAGTCTAAAATAAGCTCTAATTGATTATAGGCTGTTCGCTGAGACTGCGGAGTACGGAGTGCGGAGTAACTACAGGCCCGACAGGAAGTCTAGTGAATCCTGTGTCAGACTGGGATATGGCCCCCCCTAGGCCCTAAACAGGAACCGAGGTTTTTGTTATGGTCTAGTGGTAAAATAGGCTGTATTTTTCCCACATCCTGGAATTTAATGAACTTCTTAATCAGGTCTAGCCCTGTTGTCCGGCACTGGACATGAGGCATATCATCATCATCACAGGTTATATAGAAAGATCTCTTGCACAAAGTATGCTTTTCTTTACCACCTTCGTATACACCTGGACACCTAAAAAGACGAAGGGCTATTTAGTTAAGTGGCTGACTACTTTTACATAATTCAGGACTTGGCTTTCAAATTTGAATTTAGGGTTCCACCTCGGATGTTCCTACGGAATAATACGAATACGGAGTCACTGGCCATAGTGTTTTTTTTTTTTTTTTTTTTTTTTTTGTTTTTTTCCAAAAAGTATAACCCGGTCTCTAGGTCCCTCCTTCGGCTATCTGTGTTGATGGTCTGTCGAATGATGCTTTCCCTTCTTCGTGCCGTGCTTCTAGCAATGCCTCAGTATTGTAAGGGTTTGTGATATGATGGCATCGATTTATGGCGTTATAGTCTTACGTAAATAGCCCTACGTTCTGTGTTTGTGTTAGAAGAATTTTCATTAACCTCTTCCGAAGTCTTTCTTCTCACGATAAAAAAGAAGACCGAGCATATCTGGTGATACACAAGTTCATGTTCATAGAGACTGGGAATGAGATACCCGTTTCACGCTCTCATGCTAGTTAACGGTGAATCGAAGTCTTGCTTCAAAGCTCCCAGCTCGAAGTATCTCCTTGTAGCTCGAAGCGCTGCCTTTGAAGCCACTGCACCCTCAAAACAACTTGTAAGGTATGGCGCGGTTTGCAGAATCAGAGAAGATGTTTCTTTTGCCATGGCAAGGTTCTGTTCCAATGATTCAACTTGTGTGCCGAATAAGTTTCTCTGGAGTTTGATCATTCCGATAAGAAGTTCCAGCTTAAATGACCAGAAGGTAGCAGCAAGTCCTGCCTTTTGGGTATTTTGGAAGCGGACTTGGTACGTTTCATCCGGGAATGAAGGTATACAAACTGGGTCGACCTCGATCACCTTGCTGGGCATTGGGGTACCAGAATACCAATACAGGGGGCCTTGTTCGGAAGCTTTCCAGTTGTTTTGCCACTCTTCCATTTGATCAAAGACCGCCCAGTAATCATTTAAAAGCGAGAGAGCGGTTTCTAGCTGTTGCTTCGGGGGGTCTGAGATTTTCCCGCGGTTGGAATCATTGGAGGCATAATTCTCAAGCCCATCAACCCATTGATCTGTTCGGTAAAAGAGCCATGGTATCTGCAACGCAAGATCGTGAAGAAGCTCCATTCTGGTCTTCTGAATATTCAGAAATGGGAGGTGTATCCAATCTGAACTTGCTAGGAAGGTTGGACTATGTTCGCTAAGTCCAACTGAAAGCTGTAGGATCGTTAGCGGAAGCACGAGCAGTGGATTTTGAAGGCGTACATAGATCCCCCTGAATCCACAAAAAGCTTGTCGCATCTCTGGTGAAGAGAAATTACACGGCCCATAGAGCTCTAAGATGCTTAACACACCACGGATGTGGGCCAAAAGGGCAGCTTCTGAGTATTCATTTTCGTTCACGAACTAGAAACAGCGGTCAGAAAGGAAATGAGACTTCCTTTTCATTTATGGACCTGATTCTCACCTCAAATGCCAGAAAAGCTATAGCGAGTAGCAAAATCAATTCAAGGTTGGCCTTTGATTGAGCACTGGGTTGGCCATTCCCTATGACCTTCTGGATATGTGGACGCGACTTTTTCAAGGCGGACGTGTACGATGACTGTGCGAATTGTGCTAGCTTTAAGTTATTCTTCAAGTTTCCCATATAACTCGCGAGGAGACTGAAGATAGACAAATTGAGCGAGTCAATCTGCAAAGATGTGAGCGGCAGTAAAGCTCGAATGCACAAGGCTGCGCTCGAATAAATGGGGTCGTCTCGCGATGTTCTATCGCCGCTGAAGATACCCTTCACGGAAATAGGTTTAAAGTCTTCAATCAATGCCAAGAACATCAAGTGCCCAGGAAAATCAATGGAAATTATACCAGGTGGTGGACTTTGCTCAGCGGCAGCTAGTGTAGTTCTTCGGGATAGAGAATCATCCGAGCTACTTGAGCTTTCAAAGTCGGCGGCGATTGACTTCGACTTTCTTCTATTTTGTAATGCGCAGACTAGCGCCTTTCTATCAGTCTGTTTGGTCAGATTTGCAGCGTTCCGATTAATGAACGTCCGTGAATCTTTCGGGCCGCTACATTTGATACCGGTTTTGCAGCACCGAAGACATTCAGGTTTGTTAAGATCACACTTTATTGTTTTCAGCATTAATACAGAGTCTAAGCGTATCACTCTAGGAACGGAACAATATCCATACCTTCTTGCGGCGTCGGCGGCATTCATCGCATCGTTGAGAAGCTCCTGGGTAAAGCGGCATGGCGTAACCTGGCGGCTAGCAGACCACCTGAGAATCTCCAATATGGGTAATTTCTTTTCAACTGGGCGCTCAGTGACTGCCAAATATGTATTCGGAGTAAATTTTAAGAAGCAATACACCACGTAGAATGATTGTGAGCTGGGTTGTCCACGACTACCCGAGAATTCCCCAAGAATACCGCCAGTTCGCCACACTAGTCCCAAAATGGAAGTCACAGCGCCCAAAGATCTTGATACTTCCCTTTCCTCTATACAACTCATACCTAATTTGGGGAGTCTTCCTTTTGGTTGAATAATCGATTCCGTTGACTCTCGATGATAAAAAATACCGAACACCGATACTCTTATAAATCAACCATGGAGGGATAGGATATAAGAGTGCAGACCAGGTACAGCGGTTTAACTTGCTTTGCACCAAACATACCTATTCCTTAATCATTTGCAATCATGAGCCCTCGTACTGCTGTCGTTCTCATTGATCCCCTCAATGACTTCCTCCACCCCGATGGAAAGTTGTATCCTCTCATCAAGGCTAGCTTGGAGTCGTCCAACTCTCTCGAACATATCAAGGAGCTGGTTGCCGGCGCAAGAGATGCCAGCATTCCTATCTTCTATGGTCTTCACCAAATCACGAAGGATGGAACTTACTCAGGCTGGAACCATATGAATGAGTCGCAGATTCAAATCAAACAGAATGCGCTCTTCTCCGAAGAGTTTGGTGCCCAGATCCTGAAAGAACTGGAACCTCAGCCTAGCAATGGCGATGTAGTTGTCTCTCGACACTGGAACAGCAGGTGAGCATTGGAAGGCTAATCCTATTCGAGTCTTTCTTTTGTATATAGGATGATACTAATGCATATAACGCCAGTTCCTTTGCAAACACCGACCTGGAGTATCAACTCCGACAGAATGACATCACCCATATTGTTTTGGCAGGCTTAACCACCAACACATGTGTGGAGTCTACTGCGCGTGCTGCTCGTGAAATGTGAGTATTCTTCATCTACCTGACCTTTTGATTGGATAATTTACTAAGAATACCTTCTGTTTGAATAGTGGCTTCCATGTTACTTTAATGTGAGTTTCAACCTACTTCCGATGTTAAAGGCTGAAGGTCTTGTGACGAGACAGCTAACTTTTGAATCAGTACCGATGCAACTGCGGCAATGTCGATTGAGTTGGAAAAGGCAGCAGTCAATCTGGTTTGGCCCCTGATCACAGACCAGCTTATGACGGTCAACCAGTGGGTATCTTCCCTCTCAAAGGGACCTATTTGAGTTTGGAAATTTCAATTAGGGATCCAGTGTAGATGGACTCACGTTAGTCTATATTCTTGCTCCAGAATTCAAGTTTCTGTCTTGCCTAGCTTCACCACTAGATAAATCAATACTTGGTTAGCATGTCTTTTGTTCCCTGTATACCCTATGATATCTTTCAAGCCCGGCTTAGAGTCACATTTTGTATTTGATGGGTAGAACAGAGAAAATGTGAAATACTCTTACCCCAACGGAAGAATACAGGCTTCATCCTGGCTATTTCCATGCCTTATAGACAGTATATATCTTTGAAGATTTCTTTAGGGATTTCTAACGGTATAGTGATACACATTCTCTTGACTTTAAACCATGTATTTGAAAGATTATAAAGAGAGGTAACAAAGGTTGCCAGGACCTACAAATCCATCCTTCTAAAGAGTCAAACGTGCAGAATTATAAGCACCCAAACGAGGTAGTAGGTAAAAGAGAAGTATCCATTAAAAGTAAAAGCTAAATATCTAATTTAAGGTAAAGGAGACTTTGATAGTAATAGAGCTAAATAACCACAAACAACACCTTCTGCTGCCCTTCTAGAGTCTAGACAACCTTGTTTAAAGAGAGGACTCTTTTTCGGCATTCTCCATCTCCATAAAAGCGCGAACCATATCCAAGAGTGTCTCATTAAAGGACTGGAACTCGATGCCAAGGACGCTCCTAACCCGGGAGCAGTCGATCTCGTAGTGCTCACCAACGCTTGGCTTCCCTGGGTTTCCGACAGGCACCCGGCTCTTTAGTTCGGGAATCTGATCTCGGAGCAGATCACAGACATTCTGCTTATCGAAGTCGCCTGCAGAAAGAAGGAATCTCTGTGGCTGGTCTGTCTCGAATGCCAAAAGGTGGGCTCTTGCAACATCCCTAACATCCACAAAGGAAGGCAACAAGGTTGGTGGAACCTCAGTCAGAGATGCATCCATTAGGGCATATATATCTGACATAGATTGGCCCAGGTTCTTGATACTTGTTGATCCAGGGAATGCTGGGCCGTATACCATGGTCGGATTAACGGTTGCGAGAGAGAAATTCACACCGGGCGAGGTTTCTACGAACTGCCAGGCTGCTTCTTCCGCGAGCTTTTTGCTCCCTCTGTTAAATTTATAAGCAGATGGCCTGTAATTTTGAACACAGAAAATTCGACTTACGCATAGGCAAGACCTATCTTGTCATCCTTCGTCGCCTGGTAGGTCAGAGGGCTCCACTGCGATTCCTCATACACGTGTCCTGGTCGTAGACCCTTCGAAAAGTCGGCAATTGCGGCAAACGAAGAAGTCAAAACAACTCGCTTCACCTTCGGGGCAAAGGAAACTGTGCTTTGCAAGATCTCTTTTGTACCATTGATGGCTGGTAGGATCAAATCCCTTTCGTTGTCGGTGATCTTGTCCGTAAATGGAGAAGCCATATGCACAATTCCATCAACATCTTTGACCGCCGTATCAAAGGCCCCGGGTCTTGTGATATCAGCGACGACCTGCGTTTCCAGCAAATCCCGGTGTCCCGAATGGACAGAGAGGAGACTGTTACAGGCATCCTGGTTTCGTGCTGTCGCTCGAACTCGATACCCTTTCGAGAGGAACTGAGAAACTGTGTGGTTTCCGATGAAACCAGTTCCACCAGTAATCAAGATGAGCTTGCTGGCATTCGACATGTTGCTTTGATATGCTTTTAGATTGATGAAAATAAATCCAAGATATCGTGAAATGTACGGTTCTACGTTCACCTGCGACCTATCTGTCTTCCTTTTATACATTATAGTCCGGACCACCTAAGCCTCCGACAATGAGAGTTTGGGAGTAGCATAAATAAGTGCATTCGGAGTTATCGGGTCTACGCATTTGTTGCCCCAAATGCGAAATACTAGCTAGTCATGGAAAGTCGTGGCTTGTTGCTTCGTAAGTAGAAAACATGAATGGGTGTGACTACATTTCGTTTGCGCGCTCTCACTTCCATAATAGTCTAGTGCGAGAGTGATTTATAATCCAAGTTTTTACTATGTACTGGAGATGCCTACGTGACCTGGTGGACCTCGAGAAGATACCTAGGGTGCAGAGGCTATTACTCTCGGTGATCGGACCCTCTCCAAACCCGCTGATAAGGTTTGCACATCAGATAGTGATTGCCCTCGGCAGTATTACGCATAGTATAGTTTCTGATGTCATATTTGGTATATACGTACAATACACTTCAAAAAAAAGTAGTGGCGGCAGGTTCGGAGAATGCGCTTTGATTGCTTGAATGATCTCCATTAGACCCACTCTGAGACTTACTAAAGAATAGACGATTACTCAACTTGCCGGTTACGGATACACTTTTATTCCGTTTTGTATTCTCCCATACTTAGTATGATCAGGCTTATGATCAGGCTGATGTACTTTAGAGAGGCTGACCAATCCGCCTATGTAACCTTGGGAGGGTGATGACTATTTAATGTCTTGTTCCCTCCCTAGATTCAGACAGATCTAAGTCAGTCATCATACTATAACTGTCTAAATTTGACACAGCAGACCATTCAACGTGCTATCAACATGGCTAAGAAGATTATTACTATCGTGGGAGTTACGGGAAACCAGGTAAACCTGACCTTGCTCTAAGGTCTCAGGCCTTAGAAGCATATTTGTTTGCTAACAAGACACAAGGGTGCCTCCGTTGCCGAATTATTTGTTGGCAAGGCAGACTGGCATGTCCGTGGCATTACGCGCGACCCAAACAAGCCCGCAAGCCGAGCTTGGGGAGACAAAGGTGTCGAACTCGTTACAGCCGACTTGAATGATGTCGCCTCCCTGAAAACGGCCTTTGCAGGATCAACAGTCATCTTTGGCGTTACTGATTTCTGGGGCATTCTAGCCGATCCCAAAGTGCAGGAGAGCGCTCAGGCTAAAGGCTGCCCAGGGAACGTGGCCGCTTACGAGGTTGAGGTGCAGCAGGGTCGCAATATTGTAGACGCCGCAAATGCAACCGTGGACACCTTGGATCGGTTCGTGCTCTCGACACTCTCATCCACGAAGAAATGGAGCAAGGGACAGTATACCCACAATCTTCACTTCGACGGGAAGTGGGAAGCCGTCGATTACTTGAAGGCCTCCTATCCGGCGCTAGCAAAGAAAACATCATTCCTGCAACTGGCGCTCTATATGACTAACTTCAAAACCCCAATGGGAGGGCCAGTCAAGGTGAGTCTGAATCTCTAGAGATTTTTGCTAACGCAGTACCCTCTGCCTAAATGGGTGCAAAAGCTGACATCATGTAGCAATCCGACGGTACCTTCGTGCTGAGCATTCCTGCAGATGGCGATGCCCCGGTTCCTATGGTCGAGGCGCGCCACGACACTGGTCAGTCCCTCTATATGCATTTTTTATGTTCAACTAGCTGATATCACTCGAGGCAACTTCGTCAACGCTCTATTGCAGGTTGAGCCGGGCAAAAACCTCCTTGGCTATGCTAGCATGTTGAGCTGGAATGAGTTCGCTGCCTTGTGGGGTAAGACTCATGGCGTGACATGTCGCTTCCAACGTCTGGATCGCACTATCCTTGAAAATGCGATCCCTGGTGGCGTAGGCGAGGAACTGGCCGATATGTTCGGTTACATCGGAGACTTCGGCTATGATGGTCGTGATCCAAGCGTTGTCTACCCCAAAGATGTAAGTTTTTCCTTACAACTATATGGTGAACCTTTTCTTACATTCAATATAGCTTGGCGTGCCTGTCCCAGTCTATACTATCGAGGAGTATATCAAGGAGGAAGACTGGTCTGGAGTCCTTTAGGCTCAAACAATCGGTTGACTTATAATACTACGTCATTCGTGTATGAATATCGTCGCTATGCTCCGTATTCAGCACGTAATTATTTGTTCTCTGATTATTACTTGAAATATGATTCCGCCTCGATCTGACTCTCATTAAATGGGCATTTGCAATCGCGGGCCTCATCCACAACTGGACTGTTCCAGGACTCGTAGTGGCTCCTGAGCAGGTACAGTACTCTACGTTCGTGCATTCGAGACATTCGGTACAGCAACTGACAAGTTCAGCTTCTGCAAGATATATATACACTTTCCCGTTCTTTATCAGCGCCACAGCCGTCCGCTAGTCTATAATTAGCTTGGAATGCTAGTTAAATATTTCACATACTGTGTTGAACGAATACTACAGGAGTTGTTCTGTAAATATGACGAGTTAGGAGATTCGTTATTGCAAATTAGGCAAACTGTAAACAAGCCAGGAAGTCTGGAAACGTGCCTGGATGCCCCAGCTCCTCAATTACCGCGATTTATTTCGCGCTGGTAAGAAACCAAGGGTGCTGATTATGTTTAACCATACGTGATATTTTTCAAATAATCGAATTGCGCATTTAACAGGCCCCAGACCCAAGTAAAGCAGCAGAAGATGTCTGAGAGAGAAACAGGTATCGGACGAAGAGAACGGTACAGGGAACGCACCGGACTTACGAATTTAGAATTCTTGCAACCATACCCATACGTACCCTTGCGATCATTGATAGACGAAATACCCTTTCGCTCAACAATAGGGATGATACCTCTTTTCCAACGGAAAATACTGTCCGACGCGCTTGAAACAATGGACGGATTGCCCTGTCGGAGGATAGGCCGTAACCGACGAGTGAGATTGGACGAAACCACAGTTATGGCGTCCGCAAACGACTGCTCCCAATCCTATTAGATTGGCCTTTCGATCCATGAATATAGCAACGTCCCGAAAAGACAGGTTAGCAATTTTTTTCGTACAACTTGATTCGAATATGCAAATCGGTGAAATTTGGCAAGGCATCTATAGATAACTTTTCTGGACTAGTTGCCCAATATACGTGCTCATGGATGTCATTCACCTGAGGACTGGACTGTAATGAATAATGTTGGAGGTCGTCAGCGCAAGCGGCTACGCCCATAGACCCCAACCCCGAATAATGTTTGGTCGATCATCCAAACAGAGTAGACGTAACAGCCCAGACTGAAAAGCCTCTTAATCAGCAATGACAATATATGTCGCTATGTTGATATCATGTAGACGTTTCTCTGGCTCCTTAGGTATCTTAATCCGCTTCATTATACACTCATCAGCGCCATTTTCTTTCTTTGTACGTGGACCCTTTTCCAACGATGCTCAAAAACAGTTTAGTTCTCTTGAAGGAGCAAATATTTGAGTACGATCAATGAAACTAGCTACCTCGGACATGATTTCGTATACCCGCTGCCAATTTGAGCCGAAATTGAAGAAATCTTGATCGTTGAGACATGCTCACCAGGAGCTGTCCTCGAACAGATCGGTTTCATAGATCCATTCGTTCATTTTGCCATCATCCTCCTGGTCATAATGGATCCGAAGAAAATATAGTTAGACATCGATGTTTATATAGATTATTGACATTGCGTGTTTTTGTCATTTTAGTTAGGGTTCTTAATATCGGTTATCCATACTATATATTATTCGTATACTAGATTTCTATCAGTTATAAACCCGGAATCGTTCCATTAAAATCTAAAGAAAAGATCAAAACCTTCGCTATCGCCGAAACTAAGGCTGACACCATAACTATCATTAACCTTAGGCCGTGACAAAATGGTGATGTTGGTACTGCGAAGGCGCTAATTTTGGTGCTACCTTAGCGTTAAGTGGCTATCACCTTCCTATTTAGGTAACTCCCTAACCAAGATAGGTAAGGTCGCAGCACCACACCAGAACTCTATTTAGTGCTTCAGTGCCGAACTAAAGAATTGCCGAGTTTGTCGAAGCCTAGGTCTAGGTATAATCTTCTTGAAGAATTACATTAGCAATTTAACAGCGGTTTTTTTTTTTACTCTAACCGTATTAAAGTAATTAATATATTTATATAAAGCCTTCGGGCTAAGCTTCCGGCTATTAGGTTATTATTAAAAGAGCGATTTTCTACCTTGTTAGCGCTGACGAAGGTGGCCCGACGGAACCGCGAATTTTCGCGTAGTCTTCCTAATATTAGGCTTAGATTGCTTAAAGAGAGATTCTATTGCTAGCTAAAGCCATCTCTATCTATCTTTATATCTTTATTGGTTTTAGGGATTGTAAGCGAAAATGTAGGATTAAGAAAAAAAAAAGTTCTATTTGGGTGATCTGTTCCATATAGGTGGCGGACAGAGGGACCGTATTCTTTGAAGAAAAAAAAAAAAATTTATAGCGGCCGGTTAGACCATAGACATCCATGCAAAGTCTACTCTGTATTCCACGCGATAACACTTGGCAACCCTTAATAGTCCTAGTTTGCTTGGCATTCTCAGGGAATGTTTATTATAAGTACTAGAAGGATCTTCAACACAAGATTCCAATAATTCAAAGGAGACTACACTCTGATACATATATGTAGGGACTTGAGATATTCACAATTTTCACAATACAGGGGTTTTACATACTACGGAGCGGCACGGAAGCCGCGGGTTCCGGCACTAACGTATGACGTTCGTAGGTTGGCATCCATACCCGTTGACTTATATCAGTCTTCAGTGTATACTATGCGGATAACATATGTTACCTATGCTACGTATGTAGTGTCTTTCCCATACCAAAACCAACAGAGTCATGTATAGCCCTGACAATGCCTCCAAATCTAAGCCCCACTATTTTGGCTGGCGCTCAGCCTCCTATATAGAGGCCGTAAGCGAGCTGATATCGCATCATTTAAACCGATATTAGTAGGGCTATACGAGGCGAGGGCCAATCCCATACTAGTCATACTCTTGAGAAAGCGAGAAGACGAAGGTACATATGTGCTACCATTTATGTTTTGAATGTTGCCTAATTCATATGGATTTCATATGGACCATTTAAGCTTCGCCAGATGAGATGCGATTGGCCCCAGTTTTACGAATACCCGTGGACCTCCTTAAGCAGGGACAATGAACCCCAAAAAGGGTAAACTCCTAAATCTCAGGGTGAAACCTGTGGACCCTGAAGAACTTAAAAATAAATAACCGGTAATAATCGGTCTTTCAGATCTGTCCAGTCGCTTCTTATTTCTGGATTTTTGGAGTGTAAGCTGTACTTTTTTTAATATTTCTCCTTGCCTTTCGATTTACTTCGGGCTCTTCTCTGTTTCTTCTCTGTTTCTTCTCTGTTTCTTCTCTGTTTCTTCCTTTCTCCTTCGTCGTCTTCTTCTTATTTACTAGCCATTCCTTACCCTTCCTTATTTTCAGACCATCTTAATCTTTCCTTCACCCTGTCATGCCTGAGATCGGCACAAACTAAGAAACATGGGTTTTGGCTTTATAGGCCGAGATGGCTCACGCAATCTACTACGCAAAACTTTCTCCCCGACGTTTTGGTTCGATCATTGCTGGCCAGCCTCGCGCCAGTATTGGTTCTCTCTGTTGTTCATCGCCGTCATCTGCGCCAAAATCCTTCACATATACTCGCATCTGAACTCATTACCCCTCGGACAATTGATCATCTGGGCCCCCACATTCTTTTTACAAGATGTAGTTTGTATATTCTTAACCCACAGCCTGTGTGCTGACTACCAGCACCGTTGGGCACGTGTCATAGCGACCTTGCTGGTCATTCCAACTAGGTATGAGTTCCTAGCATGGAATTGAGTGAGACCGTCGCTAAAGTGAATTTCTCACATAGTTTGGCAATGTCTGGTCTGTCAGCCGCCAATATCTCTTTCTACGTCGCAACCGGAGCCGAAATCCACTGGAAACAAGCGCACAACTTCCACGGCGACAGAGCCGCCGTCAAGACGATGCTCACCGGCTTAACGGGTTTAATCATCGTCGAGATCGCCTTTGTCGCTGCATCCTGGATTTCCACACCACATCTATACAATTGGACCGAGGGCATTGTGTCAATCTTTAGGGGTGTTCTGCCAGCCGTTTGTCGCAGGAAACGAACTTCGGTCTTGAAAAGATACGAGCGACTCGCGCCTGAGGACTGGGAGGAGGACCGAAGTGATGTTGAGTTGGGCTCGGGCTTGCAGGGAATAAAAACAACTCAAGAAAATGTAACGAAGGAAGTTCGGCATTCTCTTTGGCTGCGAGTCTTCGTTTTCACATTCACTGGCTTTGTGGTTCTTTTGCGTTGCATTCGTCCATCAAATTCTGCCTATAACTTTCTATCTGAGACTGTCATTGTCACACCGTTTGACAAAGATCAGTCTGGCGCCCCATCATCGTTTGATCTACTTGAATTGACAGGTGATTACAGTTGGTTGGGCAATCACACTGCCCTAGCAGCACCACCCACATTTGACTGGCTGCCACACGATAAACTGGCCGGGTTCAGTGACTGGTATGAAAATGCCAATCACACTGCGCGCGTGCATTATAATCCAGCACGTGATCCTCTCCATATCTCCAACCTTGAAAATGAAGTTCTCGAATCTCTACGCGAGTCGCTTCAGAGCGGCAGTGTCAAGATCAAGCACGTGTTACTTCTCAAGCTAGAAAGCACTCGTGCAGATGTCTTTCCACTTCGCAAGGAATCCTATTTCGGGGACATGATTCGCGAAACATTTAAAGATGGCCACCTCCCCACTGATGTTGAAGAAAGACTGGCCAATCTAACACCCACCGCAGAGAGACTTACAGCTACTTCCTCTGGGTTCAATGGAAACAATAATGTACCTAATCCATATGGAGGATTCCATGCTACCAATGCTTATACGGGCGGTACCTTTACCCTGAAGAGTACCCTGGCCACTATCTGTGGTATCTCTCCCTTGGTCGTGGACTTTAATCGCGAATACCTGCACCACGTTTACCAACCGTGCATGCCGCATATCCTGGAAGCACTCAACTCTCAGGCCAACCAGACCAAGACGGAGGACTTTACCTCTTGGCCATGGCGATCCACATGGATGCAGGCCATCACTGATGACTACGACAACCAAGACCTTCTCACACCCGTGTTGGGCTTTAAACACAAAGTAACAGACATCAACATTACCGAGGATCGTGCGAAGAAGGGTGGCAGTCAACCAGAGAAGTTCAATTTCTGGGGATACCTCGAAACAGAGCTTTCGGATTACTTTCGCAATGCAATCCAATCAGCAGAGAAACAGAAGGAGCGACTGTTCATCTCACACTTGACTGGTATTACGCATCAACCTTGGGATAACCCAAAAGGTCAGAAGTACGAGGAAATGATTAGCCACGGCTGGGTGGGAAAGAACAATAAGGTAAATCACTACCTCAATACGCTTGGTGTTGCAGACAAATGGCTCGCCGAGTTGTTGAACATCCTAGAGGAAACGGGTGTTGCCGACGAGACCCTGGTCGTGATGGTGGGAGATCAGTAAGTGCCAGATCCCAATATTCATTGTCTAAAATTAAACCTAACCGTGACAGTGGCGTTTCACTCCCTGAGAACAGCGGTGTGACTCCATACCTCAACCCCCATACCGCCAGTTTCCATGTCCCTCTAGTCTTTGCCCACCCCAAGCTACCAGCTATCGAGATCAACTCTCGCGTTGCTTCGATTCAAATCCTCCCCACAATTCTCGACATTCTATCGGAATCTGGATCTCTCAACAAACAAGCAAAATCCGCTATCCAAGATCTTCTCCCCATGTACGAAGGTCAATCAATGATCCGACCCACATTCGCAGAAAAAGATGGAAAGCAAGACTGGCAGTTCTCAGTCATGAACACCGGAGGAACATGGCTTGCCCTGCGATCCGCTGCAAAGCCTTATCGTCTCATCATCCCCGTCATTCCTGACCTCGAATGGCGGTTCTCGAATGTAGAGACCGACCCCCATGAACTGCAAGCACTACAGGATTTCGATCTTTCGAATCTGATGAAGATGGTCTCGCCTAAGTACGGAGAAGATGCTGTTCAGTGGATCAAAGACGCGTCTCACGTGGCGAAGTGGTGGGTTAAAGATAATTGGCGGCGCTATGAATATGTGCCGTGATCCCTTCAACCTCGACTCTCTGATTCCTAAATAATAAGGAATCCTGCTTGGGCTGTGAACATGCAATCACTTGAAAAATGTACTGAGAAAGAAGGCATTTCTTATCTCAGTGTCTCAGACATGATACTTAGAGTGACCCGTCTCGCCCAATATAATGCCCCATGAATCGGCTCGGGCACCCATCATGGAAGGCTAGAGGAGCAAACCTGCTCCTAGGTGTTCTCATACCACCATTTCATCCCAGGACAGAGATTGGGATTTCCTCTAGGGGCCATTCCCCAAGATCGTTGCTATATATATGTAACTAACCCGTCATTTGACCTATTTCATTCATAGATAGTCTATATTTACCAGCGAAGCATGTACTATATTTTCAATCTCTATTTTAATTTCCAAGACTATGTGCATGAACAACCTTCTTTTACTAAATCCGTACATAGTGGAGATTTGATACATAGTGGAGAGCTTTCTTCTCGCCGTTAGACAAATTGGAAAGAGCATAGGGTAGGTGGACCTAACACCTCATATCCTACGAGTGCCCTTCCAAGACATCTTTAGAAACATGTCCGCCGAAATTGAGGAACGGATGCTCCGTCAGCTCACGAGCATTTTTCCTCTCTGATGGAATCCACGTGAGCATATCCCTAGCAAATGACAAGAAAAGCTCCCTTTCGGAGTCATCAATAGATGGGATAGTATCCTCTAGTTTCCGATTTGGTATTAGTTCCTGGTGAAGGAATTTCCCTGCCACCAACAATCAGCCAAAATCACACAAATGCCGGAATTTAGAATAAGAGACTCGCCTTCTTCATCGAAGTAGGGTCCACCAAAGACCTCCCGGGCATTCTTGCACGGCTTTCCGACCTCAATAGTAATTGTCGAAGCATATTCTACCTGGGACATGTAGTCTGCTCGCTCAATTACCTCCTTAGGTGGTGGACCAAGCAGAGCAATCATTTCCGCCAGATGTGATTTGGGGTCATATCTACCGTTAGCATCTTCCACCTGAGTGAACAGCTCTGTGCCTTCGATGATGTTCCAAACCTTTGAAAGAAATGGATTAGTCTTGACAGCATGGATAGGCACATCGATGTTCAAGCTTCTTACAAGGACACCAAAGTTCCATATATCTGCGCTAAAATCCCAACCATATCCAAGAACAACTTCCGGTGCGCGGTAGTAGTTCGGTTGTATAGGATACGTAATAACTGGTTCCTTTTGTGACTTCGTGTCTGGGTCGACAACGAACTGCCACGCCGAGCCGAAATCGATTATTTTGGGGAGGACATTTCCGACATCCTCGACATCCATTGGCCCGAAACTGTTGTAAGTTTGGTAGGTGGTGTGGTTGGTTACTGGATTATACTTGTAGTGCATGGGGTATTTGAGAACTTGTTCTTGAATGAACCTAGGAATAGCTTTCTCATTCTCGAAGGTCATCAGGATATTTGCGAGCTTCAGGTCTAGAGTATCTTCCCTGATTAGTGAATGCTTTGTTCAGAAAGTTACTGGGATTCAACGAAAATCACTTGCCAGTATGAATGAGTCTACACTCAGCATGTAAATACTGCAACCCGAGAAGAAGCAAGTGAATGCACGCCTTCGCGACTGGAAGAGGCATTCTTCGGTTCTCGAAACGTTTCTGAAACTCTGACAATGGCTCCCGCATTGCCTCATACACAAGACAAAAGTGTGTCTTATCCGAGCTTTTGAACTCAAAGCTTTCCAGACAGTGGCGTGTAACCCCATAACCCTGATGTGAAGGATTCTTTTGGGCAACCGTTTGCTCGGTATCAAGAAGATTACTCGCAGATTGAGCACAACAACTATTCAAAATCTTCAAAGCAACTGTTTTCTCAAACTGCCATCGGTATCTGGTAATTCAACAGCCCCAATTAGCCTCGGATACAATTGGCGCGGAAACAAAACATGCCTTCTGATATCTCGCGCTAGCCATACGGTCGAACTCGTTCCCCAGCCGATCTTCGCTAGCAACTGGTAGTTGTTGCCAAGTGTCTCGCCAGGTCTTGCTGTGTAATAGTCTTCGGGGGCGTAGTTCGGACATCTTTCTTCATCGACGACCGCGTGGGAGGGTATAGCAAAGGTAGGATCTGTAGGAGGGAGGTGGAGAGGTTTCGTGCGCAGCGAAATGAATGTGCGCGTTGTCACGCGACTTGTCAGCCGTAATCCAATCATAGGGACAGGTGGGCTTCGTTCAAGTGTCGTTTAGAAGAACAGATCTGAACAAATATGGTTTCAAGGAGTGAACTGTATCTTGAAAGCTCCCGATGTAGGTATATTTGCCTTGGCGGGACGGTCCGATGCCCCACTCCGTGGATAGGACCTTCCAAGGTTGGGATATTGGGATACTTATTCCAACTCGATGTTCTATAAGTTAATGAAGATCTAGAACACTTTATTTAAACGTGTAAAAAATAAGAGATAAGTTTGAATTTGTAAATAGGAGACCGCATTACTAAGCTTTGTTTTGATTCCCCGGACATCCCTGCAGTGCACTAGACGAAGGGTATCTTAGTCATCACCTTTATACTGACCTTTGCAGAGTACATTACTGCATATGAGCTATAGGGTTAGATTTCTATTTGATACATTTGAAAGAGGCTATTACTTGTCTTAATCTTTTCTTATTTCCCAGTAAAAAAGTCAGTCGAATTGCTTCCAATGGAAAAAGGGAGGAAACAAAATACTTCCTACTATATCATAGGCGTCCCAGGTTAGGAAGCTTAGGCTGAGACACCGTAACTTCCCCTATGCAGTCTGTGTTTACCCTCTCAGTTTCAAAGAAGCCCTCGTCATCTCAGGTCTCCTAGGTCTGTTAGGTTGTACCTCAGCCTCAGTCCCACTGGTTTCTCCACCATATATGCGCCTGAGACAGGTTTGAAGCTAATCCATTTGCTAGCTCTATCGCTGCTTTGGCATTAAAGTCCGGAACCCCCTCCAAGTTTATTTGTGGGACCGGGACCAGAATGCTAGAGAGAGAAGACGATGTAGCTAATTGATATTCGTATTGATTGATGTAAAGGGGTATCTCATCGTAGATCAAACTGGGTAAGTTGAATGTCATAATATGGAGTCTGCAACGTGGTATGACCCGATGCAAGATGTCGAGCAAACAGGGGGAAATAATGCAACACAGCTCCAGGTCAGATCTCGGAGCTCCAATAGTCGGACTGTGTTGAAGCAAGGTCCCCTGAACTGTCACTGAACGGACAGATGAAAATGCGGATGATTTGCTGGGAATCTCAACACACCGTTGAATATATTTGTCAAGACTTTCATAGCTCACAACAGTCAAATAAAGTTGTTGGAAACGAGCCCTATCAGCAAAGGCTAAGTATTTTTGATTCGTTAGTGCAAAGCTGTAGAGTCATCAAATACTAGGTGGTCGCATACCTGATCAATCAGCTCCGGTGGGAGAGGGGCAGGGATAACATGTTAGGTTAGAAGTGGTATGGGAGATGGCAGATGACAGATGTAGATGAAAGGAAAGTGAAAGCAAATTGAGAAAGAAGTGGTAGGAAACGCGAGACGCCTCGAGGCCTCGCTTCAATGTGACATGAACTAGCCTGATATGGGCAACGCCTCCTGTAGAGGCAATGATTCATTCTCATCTATAGAACGTGGGAATTGTCTGCATACATATATTAAACTGCAAGATCAATCCAATGTACAATATAGAAAAAAAAAACAAAAAACAAACATTGACCGCATGAATGCTCAAAAGAAGCCACCTTCTGTGACGCAAATATCGCATAAGTGGTTATTCTGTCAATATCCATAAAATGCGAGTCAATCAATCAATCAATCCAGTGAAGCTTTGAATCGCTACCAACCATGCACCAGGGAGTAGACCATCTCGTTCTGACACGTATTTCAAAATTATTCCCCGGTAGTGTGCCACTACCAAATGGAAGGCAAATCTCCATTTGAAAGCCGGGATAGCCTTTCGTCACTGAATTGGAAACAATCTGGAAGCCCTGTTTCATCCCAGGTCTTGCCAAGTGCAAGTTGCGCGACAGCCGGGGCGCATGTAAATATGCGGGCCATACCTGTTGCCAGTCAGCACGTCCTCTTTCGGGATGCAGTCGAGCAAAAGAAAAAGACTCACCATGACCATTAAATCCAGCACATATATACTGCCCAGGTAGGGAATCAATCGCCCCGACGAAGGGAACAGAGTCCGTAGTCATGGCAATTATCCCAGTCCAAGCGTGATCCAGCCCCTCACCGTGCATGGCAGACTGGGACGAAGAAGCAGGGAAAATGTCACCAAAGGTTTGTAGAGCGTCATGGGCAATCTCTTCGTTATACCGGGAATCATCAGTGCTGAATCGACTAGCCGATGTCCTAGTGCTCAATGTTGGGTTTGATCGCGATACACCTAACACCAATGTACCGTCTCCCTTACGTTGGATCAGAGAGTAGAAGTGCAGGAGGCTGAAGCGGAGCGAAAAAGTGCTCTGCAGAGCTTTTTGTCCCGAGAAAGCTGGAACAGGCACGAGAGAATGAGCCTGTGCACGGTTAGGCCGAATATAAGCCTCCAACTGTGGCAGTAACAAGGCAGCATGGGCATTCGTGCAATGAATGATTTTCTCCGCTTCTATAATTCCCCGGGGTGTGTGCACCTTCCAGGCTTCTAAGGACGCACCACTCCGTTCAATTTCAGTGGCAGGACAAAACGTGAAGAGCTTCGCACCCTTCGATATCACTGCCTGAAGCAGAAATTGTGCAAGCTTTGCCGGGTGACTTGATCCTGCTGGCCATTCATATGCTGCCACAGCCCCTGGGACTCTAGTTTTCTCTTTGGCCTGGTCTCCTTCATAGAATGCGATATGGGAAGTATCGCCGCCTGCTTTCTTGAACGCTTCAAGGCTCTCTGCCTCGTAAGCTGCAAATTCTGGGGTCATGCAAACATCAAATGTCGTTGTCAAATTGAAGTCGCATTCCACATTATGTTCTTTGACAAATTCATCGACTCTCTCTAGGACAAGTCGCTCATCCTGAATAATTTTTAATGCCTGTTGCGCTCCATGCACTTTGGCATACGCACTGAACCCCCTGAAGGCATCTATGTTCCAAATCAGAAACTCTCACAATACTTCCAATATAAATCTAACAGACCTGGTCGCACATGTCCGGCATTTCGCGAGCTCGCACCACTTGCTGCCTCTCGTGCTTCGAGAATCACGATATCCTCAGCTTTGGCCCCTCCTTCAATCAGCTTGAAGGCCGTCAAACCACCAGAAATACCGGATCCGACAACGACGTATTTGGAGCTCGATGGGACAGCTGTTTCGATGTTCGCATGCAAGTTTGGATTTGCCCGAGTTGTTCGCTGCCAGTAACTCAAGCAAGGGGTGGGATTTGGCAAGCTTCTGCTTGTTTCAATATTTGAAGTTAACATTTCAAATGATTTGCAATTAGTCAAGGTTTCCGCCAATCCTGATAAATACATATAAATATATAAGTTGGAGAGAGAGAGACAGCCTCGTATTCACCGTTGTCGGCGCAGGGATGCGGGGAAGCCTAAGAATCTCCTATCGCCGACTTCGCCCCTCAAATCCTTCAACCCAAAGGGATTTCCCCTCCAAACCCTTCTAGCTAGGTTCGCTGATAGGATCCCATCAACTTATCTCCAGATCCACTCGTTAAGCTAACCTCGGGGTGTAGGTGAGTGGAGTTGGCTAAAACGCCAAGCTGTCTGGTATCTTATTTATCAGCAACTCGGGCATTCCTCCGATGTTACCCCAATGGAGGAATACGACCATTGGTGCTTTAAATGCTTATCACGCGTGCACCTTGCAGATATATCCTTGTCGGATCTACAATCTGGCTTCTACCCCGGACACATTATTTGACTTATCTGTGAGGGGTCACAGGGGCCTTATCACGGCTCGGGCCTACATGCGCCGGTATATGAATGGCTAAGGTCGCTAAAATGTTGGCTTTTTTTCTCCTCCCTGTCATGCCACTATAATTATGGTGTCTTTCAAAATGTTTCGACGTAATGCGTCGACAGACGTCGATATCCGATCTCCGGAAGAGAAGGCCTTGGTCCGGCGCCTTGACATGTTCCTGATGACTTTCGGTTGTCTTTCACAGGGTGTGTTGGGCTACAAACTTCTCTCACGGCTTGGGATCAGCAAACTGACAGAGGTCAGTTATCAAATATCTCGATCAACAGAATATCAACAATGCGTACGTATCTGGCATGAAGGAAGATTTAAACTTGCTCGGAAATGAGCTTAATTTGTGAGTTATCTGGATCATTGACCAACCGCAGAGTTAGTCATAGCTGATACTGTCTAGATTCACAACGTATTTTAACGTCGCCTACTGCGTAATGCTAATTCCCTCCCAAATTATCCTCACATACATACGCCCCAGTTATTGGCTCCCGGGCTTGGAGATTGCATGGGGTGTTCTGACGGGATTGATCGCGATGACGACTAGCGCGAAACAAGTCTACGTTATCCGTGTGTTCCTCGGTCTATGCGAAAGTAGCGCTTGGCCAGGAATGATGACATTATTCAGTATGTCCTTCGAAAGCCTTACCCTTAACCCACCGAATTAACTAGCCCTCTTAGTGTACTGGTATACCCCAACCGAATTGGCCAAGCGAATGGGATTCTACCACTCCTGCCAAGCCGTCGGTCAGATGCTCTCGGGCGCCATGCAAGCTGCAATCACCGACACTCTCGACGGACACAACGGACTAGCAGGATGGCGCTGGCTATTCGTAATTAACGCCATCATCACGGTTATCTGGGGATTTGCGGGATTTTTCATGCTCCCCGATCTACCAAACCGGCCTAACCCGCGCGCATTTTGGTTCAAGAAAGTCCACGGCGAGCTTTCGCTGGAACGTCTTGCGCGCAATGGTCGCGCCGAGCCAAAGAAGATGACCTGGGCCGGCGTGAAGCGCACGTTCTCGGGATGGGTTGTTTACTTCATTGCAGCCCTGTATATCGCAACGGTTCTTGGAACCTACGGATATGTGTATTTCGGGCTATTCCTAAAATCGCTAAAGAACCCAGACGGAAGCGCGAGATGGACTGTCTCGCAGGTCAACGTTATCCCCATTGGAGGATCTGCGATCAATGTCGTGTTCGTGTGGATCTGGGCTCTGTTATCTGATCACTTTGAAACGCGTTGGACACTCATCGTTCTTCAAG